TCCCTCTCCCTCCCTCTCTCCTCATCTGTTTCCACCCTCCCCTCTCTCCCCGCGTTGCAGTGCCGGGAGAGGACCCCTTTGCGAAGCTCAAGGCGGATAAGAAGGCGAGGGTCAAGGCGAACGAGCGCCAGCGCATGGGCAACCTCAAGGCGTCCGCCAAGCAGCTGCGCCCAGACGCGCTCAGGTCAGTCTTTGATGCCCTCACCCGCACGCACCCCTGGTGGTGCTGTGCTGCATTGCATCGTCTATGGCAAATGCAAGCCCGCTGCCTTGGGCTCTCCGGCGTCCCGTTTCACCACCCCGTTCACCCCACTGCTCCCCTCATTCCCCTACTCTCTCTTTCCGCTTTCCGTCCGGCTTTCCCCATCCCCTGACTCCCCACTCCGTCGCTACCCTCCCTCCCCTCCCTCCTCCCTCCAGCCACCTGGCGGTGTCATCAGCATCGCTACCGCTATCCGGCAGGGGGCCAGCAGCACCGCGGGCGTCAAAGGCAGCGGTGGGGGCGGCTTTGTCTCAAACGTACTCCATCCCTCCCCCCTCCCCTTTCCCAGCAACCTGGCGGTGTCATCAGCGTCGCTACCGCTATCAGGCAGGGGGCCAGCAGGCCCGCGGGCGAGCAAGGCAGCGGTGGGGGCGGTGGCGTCGCTGGCAGCGGGCAGCACGGCCAGTGGGGGCAAGTTCGATCGCCGCCTGGAGGGGGAGAAGCGAGCCAAGAAAGTCGGCAAGCACAGAAAGGTGCTAATATGCTGCACTCCCGTTCCCCGTCTTATGCTGCTTATGCTGGTTTTCGTCCTCTCTGCGTGTCCCCGTCTGCCCGTGGCTAGTGAATTCGTCCAACAGTCACAGACTCACACCTGTGCCTTGTTTCCCCTCCTCCTCCTGTCCGCTAATTTCCCTTCCCGTCGTCTCGCCCATCCCTTACTGCGCCGCTCTGCAGTTTCTGCCAGTGGCAGCGCGGGGAGCGGAGGGGGAGAGGGAGGGGAAGATGATATCGTCAGTGGTGGACAGGGTGGTGAGCCGACACGCCACAGACGTCATGGACGTCAACAAGGTATGTTAATGCCTGCTGCCTGCTGCCTTGCTCCTGTGGCACCCTTGTTGCGCTCTCTCTTTCTTTTCTGCATCCTTCCGTGCATGCATGCCACTATCAGTCCTGTCCTCGCCCCCAACCGCACGTGCGCACACCTCTCCCCCACCCACACGCCCTCGCTTCCAAACCTGTCCACCCCAACCAGGCGGTGACAGTGCTGCAGGTGGGTGAGGAGAGGAAGCGAAGGGCGGCCAAGTGGAACGCTGCAGCAGCAGACAAGGGCAAGGGCAAGGGTGGCAAGGGCGGCAAGGGCAAGGGGGGAGGGGATTTCGGAGGGGCGGGCAAGGGCAAGAGGAAGGCTGGGGGCGACGACATGCGGAAAAAGAAGGCCAAGAAGTGATGTGCTGTGCGTCCCAAGTGCCGCTGGTTGCATACAGCATAGGCAGCTTCTCGTGCTGGGCAGCTGGGGTGTCCTGCCAACACTATGGCACTGCTGCTGTCATGGCTTTGTTGGCCCCTTGGTCCTGCCCTGCCTCACCCCCCTGTCTCTCTCTCTCTCTCTGATGATGAGACTAGCCCCCAATGCCATGAGGCCAGCCTGGGGTGTTGGCCTGGCCTGCAATTACCGTACAGGCCAGCCCACCGTTTCTCTTGTGTATCGTGTACGCGTTGGAGTATGAAAGGAGCCAGAAACGAGCACACCTGTTTACTCTCTACAAGTGAACATCAGTGAACCACAGTACGGGTACCATACATGCAGGCCCCTGCGTTTACTGGACCTTAAAATGGGCCTGTGCTGTGATGTGAGTTGTGCATGTTCTACTCAGCATGTTGCGCATGCTGTGATGTGAGTAGCTGTGCTGTGCCATGCCATGGCTACTGATACCGTAATAATACGGTAGAAATGTGTTATGCCAGCGTGTACTGGTACAATGCCTCCATGCCTGCCCACCCACACCAGCATGGCAAAGAAGGGAGTGACCATGACTGCTGGCAATGGAATAGAGGGTATTGCTAGTCTTCATGCTAGTTTCATAAGATCCTGTTTCGTGCGAGGGCGCTGTGCTAGTGCTTTGAGCATACCTAAACGGTACGGTAGCTTGCATTGCATGCATGCAAGTGTTGCTGGAGCCAATCCAACACAGTGCTGTATCTAGCTTGCATTTGCTCCCAGCAGACCTGCTAATGGATCTGAAGGCGGTTTACATTTCATTAACTACCGTATTTACATCAACTAAGGACTTCGCATCATCAGCAAGAAACAATGGCTAGTGCCTGAATCCCAGTGTGCTATGCTATTGCATCTCACCGCCACTCTAAGATGAACATGAAGCCTAGATCATGCTGGTGCGTTCGTGTGCCTGCCATCAGCAACAACCACAGGCACAGCCGCTTATTTCCGTGTCATTATACCGTAATCCCTTGTGTCTCATCCTTGCCTCCTCTTTTCCCCCCACGCGCGCTTCTTATCAGCACATGGCTTGCTTGCATCCGCTCTCCTGCTGCTTTCCACCCGCACTCACCCGCAAGCCCACGTTCACCCACGCGCCGCCGCCGCCCAGGTGCCTGCGCACGTCGTCGCCGACGCGCGCCATGTGCTCGAGGAACGGCATCAGCGCGAGGAGCTCCACGTCGCGTGGGTCGTCGATGAACGACGAGATCGGCACGCCGTTCGCGGGCTGCCGCGCGTACGACAGCGGCGAGTTGTCCACCAGAAGCACGTCCGCCAGATCGCGCCCGAGAATCGACAGATCCTTCACGTATCCGCCGCCGCTCTCCATCTGCACGCACGACTCGCGGAACAGCCGGTGGTGAATCAGCTCGCCGGTGGGGTCCAGCAGGTCTAGTACGGGGTCCGCGTATCGCGCGAGGCTCGCGGTGAAGACGACGACTTCGAAGATGGGCGCCATGGCGGATAGGAACTGCTCGACGCCGGGCCGCTTGAGGACGAACACGGACGCGGTGCGGCCGTCCATGGTGAGCGGAACGACGAAGTCGGCGTTGGGCGGCGCGGAGAACGACGAGTGCACGAGCGTCTCGTCGAGATCCAAAACCAGCGTCTTCCGCGCGGCTCTCCCGTTCGACAGCTGCAAGTGTGGCTGAAGTGGCGGAAGCAGAGTCCGCGAGGGGGCTGCCGGCGCCGGCGCCGCGCAAGGGATGGCGAGCGGAGGCAGCACTCCGAAGCAGAAGAGGCGCGAGTTGTACGAGCTGCTCCGCGTGTGATGAGCTCCCACGCGAAGAGCGGTCCGATCGCCGTCGCCAGAGCTTGCAGATCCAAGGTGGCTGTCGCTGGACGATGGCGCAAGCAGCAGAGGTGTGGAGTTACTAGGAGCAGTCTGGTAGTAGTAGTACGGACGTATGAGGTTGCAGAGCTTATCCCACACCCGGTTCCTCCCGGCGTTGTTCGCCGTGACGCTCGCCGTGCCGCTCGTGTTGAGTCCAGTTGCATGATGGTCAGATCCCACAACGATACTGCTGATGGGGTTTTCCGCCGAAGGGCCACCGATCGCTACGGGAGCGGCCTGGGTCGCAGCTTCGGCGGGGAGATGAGTGTGCGACGGAGCAACTCGGTCCGTATCCTGCAACAGAAACGATTCCTGTCCAGCCGTTGGGTGAGCAGAGAAGTCCTCCTCGCGCTCCGAGGAAGAGCCTTGAGGACCGTTGGACGTCACCAGCGTTGTCGAAAGAGCAAGCGGTCCCGCCGTCGTCTCGTTGGCCTCTGATCTCTCCGCGCGTAGCAGATCTTCACCGTTGTTGCTGGATCGTGAAACGGACTCCTCCTCTTCAATAGCTTGTGGGTATATCAGCGCAAGCGACGAGCGATGATTCGTGCTGCCTCTGGAGCTACGCTTGATGCCTTGAAAAATGACTCCTTTGGTAGACGACGGTTTCGTCCTTCGCATGCCTTGATTCGCGTCGTCAAGAAGCGTCGTGGTGCAGCTGTTGGTCCTTCGGATCTTCATTTCCTTGGACGCAGTCGTCGACGCAGGGAACTCCATATCAGTCATGCTGCTCCTCGCACTGCTGCTACTGCTGCTTCCGCTGCTTCCAGACATGGTTCGTAGAATGCTGTTCCTGACGCTATCGACGGTGCTACTGGATGTGCTACCATCGCTGCTTCTGGAATCCATGGAAGGATCCAGGCAGGAGCCTGGTGGCCATGGCTTGTCGTTCAGCGACCATACTGCAGTACTAGCCATCGTTGATGCTTCCGGTTGAAGTCTTGCAAAAGCAGCAGAAGGGAGCGCTGGCGGGGATGCAGGAACTATCTGCTGAATGGAATGACGATATGAGACTGAGCTCAGATGAACTTTTATCCGAAAGAGCAATTGCGGTGAGCTCAGGATTTCCTGACCGACTCTGCTGACAGTGAGTGTGACATAGAGAATGGCGGCTGGAAGCACAGCCAGGGAGGGACGGACGGAGGCAGGAAGGCAGTAGTGGAATCTCGATGAAGCCTAAATTGGGAATGCCGAGCCGAGACGCCGCCCCAGTCGAGCCGCGAATGCCCCCTCATGTCATCGAATAGTGGCCGCAAACCCCCGCTGCGCGCAGGTCTCCAGGTGCTTCTCCCGCCCACGGCAGCAGAAGGATGTGTCCGCCGAAATCAGAGTGTCTTTCAGCCGTGATAGTTTCATTGTGCTACATTTACTGTATATGTGTAATGCAGCAAATTATTTTCATTTGTTTAATCACGCTGATGTTATTTTTGCCAGTTCAGCCTCTTTAATTCACTCCTTATTTGAAAATAGTGATCCATTACTGCTATGAATTAACCAGATATGATTATGTTTCTATGAGTGCATCGATCTTATAAAAGGTTCATGCGGTTTACGAATACAGAAAAACTTCAAGGTAGCGCAATCACTGAAGTTTCTTAGTGAGTTTCTCTTAGCAAGCTACTCTTAGCATGCCTAACCAACCAATGGAAAGAAGCTAATAACAAACAGAGGATTCGATCAAACAGTGTATGGCTGGTGGAAAAATCGTAGGTCTTCACGAAGTCGAGGACAAACCAAGCAGCCCACCCCACCTCCAACATCCACCATCGCTCCTACTTACCTCGCGTTGCTGCTTGCACTCGTGCAAGTCTTCATCAATTTCCTTCGAATTTGGAACCTAGATGCGTCTACCCTTATGACTCCGCTCCTCGTTTCCCGCTCTTTGTTGCTATGCGTTCTCGTCAGCGTTCTTCCCGACTGTATCCCTGTGGTATCAGCTAAGTCGCCGAATTTACCTGCGCATAGCAGCACTCAAAGTCACACACTCTCTGCCCTGGATGGAGAAGAAAGTAAATCCTCAAACGGCCTTAGAACACCCCGTTCAGGCTACGTACCAGTGGATACAAAGCATGATAATTCGTCAAAAGATGTTCTTAAAACAGGCAGGACAATCAGGCATGAAGGGGCTGCTGTTCAAGGGAGCTCGCCGCTAGCAGCAGTACCGCAGTCAGAAGCAGCGTCACCGACCATCGCCTCTTCCCACTCCTCCGTCAGTTCTGCTCCCAGCGATGCACGAGTAACGCCCGCCACCTTTCCCCATCCGCCTGCACAGAACACGTCGCTCGCCGCTGCTGCTGCCGCCGCTGGCGACGCCGCGCCGGGTGCTGCAGACGCAGCTCCGTCTGCTGACGTTGCTGCAGGAGCAGGTGATGGCGTGCGCGTGCGTAAAAGCGCGGAAGCGGATACGACAGGAGCAGGAGCAGGTGGGCGCGAGGGAGTGGCGATAGCCGGCGGTGCTGGTGGAAGCGAGGCGGAGCAAGCGAGGGCGGAGCAGGCGAGGGCAGGGTCTGGGCAGACAGCGACGGGCGCGGATGAGACTCGAGATCGTGGTTCGGTGCCGGGGAGTGCGGGTAGCAAGGAAGCGGGTGATGGTGAGAAGCTCGAGGAGCGGAGTTCCGAGGGGATAGGTGGGCCTGGGAACGCGCAGCAGGGAGAGCGTGCGGAGAAAGGAGGAAACGCGCATCAGGGAGGCGGTTCAGAGCAGGCACCTAGTAAGGACGGTGCACCTGGCGCAGCAGCCATGGCGCCTAGTGCCACCAATTCCAGTTCAGACCGCCCTGCCAACGACACTCACATCAACGCCGCCGACGGCAGTGGTACCAGCAGCAGCACGAACGAGGACAAAGACAAGGAAAGGCGCAAGGGCGACAAGGACGACGATAGCGACGACGACCCCAACTGCCACCACGTGCGCACCCTGCTCACCCCCGCGGAGCAGTGCGCATATGTCTCCACGCACCCGCCCTGCCAGCTGGGCTCCTGGGTGCACTACCTCTCGCTCTACTACTGCCGCTCGCTCTCCCTCACGCGAGGCATCGCAGCGACGAGCATGGCGGTGTGGCTGGGGGCGCTGTTCTTCATGCTGGGCAACACCGCTGCGGATTTCTTCTGCCCGTCGCTGGAGCAGCTCTCGCACCTGCTGCGCCTGCCGCCCACTGTCGCTGGTGTTACGCTGCTGCCTCTCGGCAACGGCGCACCAGACGTGTTTGCCAGGTGAGCGGGCCTCCGGGCTGTGATGAAGCGGTGTTGAAGCGGGGCAGAGTGGCTCTGCTGTGCTGTGGGCCGGCCATGGTGAGGCACTGGTGCTGGAGCCTGGAGCCCTCAGCTGATATATCCCAGCCTGTCTATCACCCTTGTGCTCTGTACCACCCTGCCTCCAACCTCTTTCCTCTCCTGTCCGTCGTGTCCGCCCCACTGTTCCCCCCTCTCCTCCCCTGTCCGTCCGTTTCCTCCCGTGTCCCCACATTCCTCCTGGCCTCGCCAGCATAGCAGCGTTCGTGGGCACGGGGCAGGGGCAGGTGGGGCTGAACAGCGTGCTGGGCGCTGCCACCTTCGTGTCCTGCGTGGTGGCGGGCGCCGTCTGCATCGTCGCTGCCGTGGCTGCTGCTGCCCGAGCCAGGGCTGCAGGCTCGGCAGGCGCCAAGAGGCTCGTGGACGCCACTGTGGTGGACGGGCCCTCGTTCATCCGAGACGTGTGCTTCTTCATCGCTGCTCTCCTCGTATGTGCCTTGCCTCCTCTTCTCCCTCTTCCTCTCCCACCTCTCTCTCTCTCTCCAACGGTCCTTTGTATTAATGCGGGTGTTGGTACAGGCAGATTGAGAAATGGAAGACATGGTCGGCTAACATGCAGTTCTGACCCTATACATCCCTTTCCATCCCCTAGTACCTACCCTCACTCCAAGGTGTGGAGGAGGTCCCCCAGCTGCAGGGGCCAAGGGTCCGCTGGAGCCTGCGGGTGTGCCACCTCGATCCCTTCTCGTGCCTTCACATGCAGGGCGTTAGCTTGGCTGCGCTGAAGCATAACAGCCCAGCGCTGCCTGAAATGGGCGCCAATCTTCTCTCTCACCCTCTCCCTCTCCCTCTCCCTTTCCAGCTCGCTTTCTCCTCCTCTCTGTCTTCCTTTATTCTCTTCATAAACGATCCGCCTCTCACCCCGACTTCCTCCCCCCGCACAACCCCACCTCCCCCAGGTTTTATCTTCTCCCACCTTCTCCACTCCCTCACGTTCGCTCTTCCCTCACTGTTTGTACACCACTCTGTTCCCTGCCCTTGCTGTCACTGGTGCAAGCACATCTAAGCTTCAGCTATTCGTCATCCCAGCAATGGGCTTTCCATCCCATCTTGAGGCACCGTCCCATGACGCACAGTACAGTACAGTGCAGCAGACAACATACGTACGTGATGATCCTCTGCCTCATGCAAGCCCTTCTTCCCATACCGCTCCCTGTGTGTATGCACCCACCTGGCCATGTGTGTGTCCATGTGTGCAAAGGTGCTGTTTGTGATAGTGTGCATGGGGTCCGTGCACCTGTGGACCGCCCTCCTCTTCTTCTCCATCTACATCGCCTACTGCTGCTGCGTCGTCTCCTTCCAACTCTCCTCCTCCTCCTCCGCCTCTTCTGCCAGCACCCACAGCCCTGCTGCCCTCTCCTCCGCCCTCCCTGAGCCTTCCCACCTGCAGCAGCCACTGCTGCCTGTCGACCAGTGGGAGACCGGCGGAGGGATGCGCCGGGCAGCCGGGGCGACGGCAGGGGACGGGTCAAAAAGGGGGAGGCCTGGCGGAGACGAGGAGGAGGAGATGGAGGGGGGGGATGGGCAGGGAGGAGAGGGCGGTGAGGGCAGGGAAGGCGGCGAGGGTGCAGGGCATGCGCATGCATTACCACAGTGGATGTGGACGAGGGATGTGCGCATCTTCCAATTGGAGCCCCAGCACGGGGCGGGGCATGGGGTAGCGGGTCGTGCTGCATTCATGGAGATGGAGGAGGGCGCAGATGGTGATGCTGCTGGGGGTGTGCGCCCGCTCTGGGGATGGGGCTCGGATGATGAAGAGGAGGAGGAAGAAGAGGATGAAGAGGAAGATGTTCTGCATTCGGTGAGGCTTTCCTTTTCTCTACCTCCCTCTTTGTTGCTGCTGTGCGACACTTACTGTCATTCCTTCCCTGCCGTTCACGATGCTCTTCTCTGCCAGGCGTATTCGTTCCTCTGATTCCTCTCATCCCTACACATCATGCATTACCTTCTGCAAACTCCTTCTGCATACCCGCATGTGTCTCATGCCTCGGCTATCAATAATCACTCTTTTTCCTCCTCTTCTTCCCCCTTCATTCTGCCACATATTAATCCAGTGGGAGCCCCCATCAACCCCGCTCCTCTCTGCTCAGGGCATCGCCTACTGGTTCTTCTGCCTGCCCGCCATGCTCCCGCGCCTCCTCACCATCCCCCTCCTCCCTCGCGACTCCCGCAGCCGCGTCCTCTCGCTCCTCTCCCTCGCCCTCTCCCCTCTCTTCTTCCTCCTCGTGCTCCAAGGCTCGTTCCCCTCCCCTCTGCCGCTCTCTCTAGCTGCTGCCTCGGGCGCTCTCCTCTCCCTGCTCGGCCTCCTCGCCTCCTCGGGTCCCTCTGGTGCAAAGCACCTGTCAGCAGCAGTCCTCGGGCCAGCATCGCACCACCACCACACCCACCACCACCGCTCCGCATCCCTTCGCATCCCTCCGCGTCTGCTGGGGCTGCTGTGGGTGGTGCCGGGGTTTGTGATGAGTGTAGTGTGGTTCTATGTGGTGGCGAATGAGCTGGTGGCGCTGCTGGTGTCAGGTGCTATTGTGCTGCGAGTCAGCTCATCGATACTCGGACTCACACTGCTCGCATGGGGCAATTCTATCGGAGACTTCGTTGCTAATCTCGCTCTGGCGTATGGCGGAAGGGCGATCGGGGGGAGTGGAGGCGGGATTCGAGGGCGGAGTGAGCGGGCGGCAGAGAGAGTGCAGATTGCGTGGTCTGGCTGTTACGCGGGGCCCATGTTCAATACGCTTGTGGGGATCGGCATGTCTCTTGTTCTCACCTCCTGGCATTCCTATCCCCATGCGTTTGTTATCCCTGAAGACCCCACGCTGCCATACACGTTTGTTTTCCTCCTTTTTGGGTTGCTTCTATCGCTGCTGGTTCTTCCTCTCTCCGGCTTCCGCCTCACTCGCCCATTGGGGGGATCTCTTATATTTGTATACTTGTCATTTCTTACTCTAAGGCTGTTAGATGTTGTGGGAGTAGTTACCCTCAAACCATGGTGGTGATTGCTTGTATGCTTGGGCTTGCAGATGCTAGTAAATGTCAATGAGTAAATGTTGCATATTTAAAGCCCGAGTACAGCATGGTTCTTTTCAAGTTCAAGATTCTTGAACGTGAATTCGTAAAAAACAGGGTTACCCTATTTGTCTGTCTAAAACTCTCGCGACCCTGGGACAACGCCGAGCGACACTCTCTCCTCATTGGCTTTTGAGCAGAGTCGCAAAACAGAACCGAACGTCGCCCAGGTTGGCCCACTGTTTGGCTCTCACATGTCTTGAACACCTAGTCGTACTCATGATCGGCCTACTCCCTCACGTAAGATGGGGTTCCTGAGATGGTGCCCCATCCGAACTTCCCCCAACTACAGTGCACAGAGCACGTGCCTGAGGCATGGCAGCAATGGAATGAGTGAATGTGGAAGTCGCATGAGTTGGGAGCTCATGGTTGTGCGATTTTTCCGCACGTCAACTTTCCCTAACGCCAAACGTCATAACCACTGTCGTTTCTGACTGTCACGGAACCCAGTAGTGACTGGATTGGGTTTGGAGCACATTTGTGAGGCTTGGTTGGAATTGGCCGTTAAATCTTGTCGCATGAACGTTAAATACAAAATCCTGTGATTGGTTGACCCAAATCTTTCATGTTTTTCGCCCTAGGCGACTACCGTCGCCTGGCACGTGTGGTGGGTGTGACCAGAATCGAATTCTTCCACGCTGGACCAATGCTGTTGCACCAACCATGGAAATCGATGGGGCCCCATCTCAGGAACGCCATCTAAGTAGACAGCCAGTGCGCCTTGCACTAGTTTTAGGGACCGCGATATTTACAGCAACTCCCAAGGCACACGGTGCTGTCTCGCCAATAGCTGGGCAGCAGGCGCCTAGTGTCACCCGATATTTACATACGTTGTCGCATTACTCAGACGGAACGTGTGAGTCAAACGAGTGCTTCACCATGCTACCCCACGTTTAGCGCGCGTCGTCACCCGCGCTCCCCCTCGCCACCCGCGCCCGCCCTCGTCACTCGCGCCTGCCATCGTCACTCGCGCCTGCCCGAGTCACTCACGCTGTTCACGTCACTCGCGCTTGCCCGGGATACCGTGCTTCACCTCGTCATCCGTTTCCCCTCGTCGCGCGCATTTCCGCCAGTCGCGCACGCGCCTTCGCGTCACGCTCGCTTCCCCAAGATGCGCCCTCTCCTCCCGCGCGTTTCCCCTCGTTACGCGCTATCCTCCCACACGCGTATGTCAAAGTATATGCATGTTATATATGTGTAGGCTGTAGTGGGGTAGCCAATATGGGGTACAGCCCCTTTTAGGGTTTCATACTTGCACCCAACTCTTTCATAGTTCATCCATTCCTGCTGCTTGATTCTGACAGCGTAACGTGCTCTTCCCCTTGGCAGGCGCACTCCTCCCCTCGTCACGCGCTCAATCATTCAGTCGCAATCTTCCGTAGATCAATAGCTGAAGCCGACGTCATGCGCATGTGTCGTTGCCCCAGTTGCTGCTGCCTGGCCCTCGCCTCCCGTCGTCGCCTCCGCCACCCCAATTGGGAAGCGATTGTCCTTATCGCCAACCCCTACCCACGTCGCCATCGACACCATCGTGTGTAGCAACTCCCTCATACGCCCTTGCTCCGTCCTGTCAAACATATGCATATGTTATATTTGTGGGTAGGCTGTAGTGGGGTAGATAATGTGGGGTATAACCCCTTAGGGTTTTCTCCTTGTACCATCCCCTCGATAGTCAACTCCATTCATGCCTAGTTTCTAAGATGGTATCAGAGCAGTAGGTCTTTAGGACCTAAGAATAGGGCCCACCTGTTACCGCGTTACCTCACCTACGGCCTTGCCTGCCTGCCTGCCTTGCCTGCTGCCCGCGCGCGCCTTAGCTGCACGCGCGCGGCCCTTTTTTTTTCCGCGAGCGCCGCTTAAGCAGCCCGCGCAGCCCGTTTTCGGCCCCGCGCGCCGCGTCAGCCGCCCGCGCAGCCTGCTTTCGGCCCCGCGCGCCGCGTCAGCCGCCCGCGCAGCCTGCCGCCGGCCCGCGCGCCGCGTACACCGCCTGTGCAGCCCGCTGCTGCACCGTGCGCAGCCTTAGGAGCCCGCGTGCGGCCCGCTGCTGCACCGCGCGCCGCTTTAGAGGCCCACGCGCGGCCCACTGCTGCCCTCCGTACTGCCTTAGGAGTCTGTGCGCCGCCCCTGCAGTCCGTGCGCCGCCACTGCAGCCTTGCACGCAGCCTCTCCTTGCTTGCCTATTGCCTTGTCGCCTACGCGCTAGACTTGCCTACACTGCAAGCATGGCGACTCTCAACGTGCTCGCGTTCGATCCTGACGGTCGCCCAGTAGAATTTACCACCTGGCTTGACGACCTGCAACTGTTCCTTCTGACTGATGCCAAGGACGGTGTTTCCCTGTTCGATTACGTGTCTGGCACTGCCGTTGCTCCTGCTGACACTGCGCCTGCTCTAGACCGCTCCCAGTGGCAGACCCGCGATGCTGCTGCGCGCCTCGCTATTCGCAACCATCTGCCGATCACAGAGCGCGCGCATTTTAGCCAGCACAAGACTGCCAAGGCACTGTACGACGCTGTAGTTGCCCGGTACTCTTCCCCGGCCACTGCAGCCCTCGGTCGACTTATGCTACCCTACCTGTTCCCCGACCTGTCCTCGTTTACCACCGCTGAGGACCTCATCTCTCACCTGCGCGCTAGTGACACTCGCCTTCGTGCCGCCCTTCCAGCCGAGTTCCCCAGCAGCCGCAGCAGCGTCAGCGCCAGACCCCCACTTCCCAGCAGCTTCTTGACTGGTATGCCGGGCGTGGGGCGTCTGGGGGTCCTGGTCGCTGCCCCTATATTATTCGCGCAGGTACCCGCACTGGTCGCCAGTGCACCGGCTTTCACACTGAGTACCGCTGCTTCGCTCGGCTTAGTGACGCCTGGCGCGTCAAGTTTCCTGATGCTACTGAGTTCCCCAACTGGGCAGACCTGCTTAGGCGTGATGTACCTATCTTTGATCTTGACTATGCTCCTATCCTTGCTGCCATGTATGCATTGACTGTTAGTGCTGAGGGTGACTGCTACTTGTGTGTGCCGCCTGACCCCGGTATAGCCCCAGGTATAGCGCTTGCAGCTCTAGGTGCTTGTGAGTCTGCTCCCCCTGGTACTGCGTCCGCACAGGCCTTGCACACCTTTACACTTGACTCTGGTGCTTCCCGCTGTTTCTTTCGCGACAGCACCACAGTCACTCCCCTCCCTGCACCTGTCCCTGTCTCACTGGCTGACCCCTCAGGGGGCCCAGTGCTTGCACGGTCTTCCACTATGCTTCCGTGTCCGGCGGTCCCGTCTCGTGAGCTGTCTGGTCTCCACCTCCCCTCGTTCTCTACGAACTTGGTGAGCAACGCCGTCGTTCAGGATCATTGGGTTGACACCTTTACTCCTGGAGGGCAGTGTGTGGCGATCTGCACGTGCTCTCGGACCGGCCGCCACCTGGCCACGTTCACACGTGCGCCTGGGTCCAGTCTGTACACCCTCACCACTACGTCGCGCTCCATCCCTTTGTCTTCACAGCTGTACGCGTCTGCTCAGGTAGCTACCCAGTGTGAGTGTCGCCGCCTGTCGCACGACACTCTCCTGTGGCACCACCGCCTTGGTCACCCCTCCCTGCCTCGCCTTCGTAGCATGCACTCTCGCTTCCTGGTCTCTGGCCTTCCCACGTCTCTGCCTGCCCTCCCTCCCTCGCCTGCGCCGCCCTGCATTCCCTGCGTCGAGGGGCGGCAGCGCGCCGCTCCTCACTCCTCCTCGTTCCCTCCCACAAAGGCTCCCCTGCTGACTCTCCACCTAGACGTGTGGGGCCCAGCCCGCGTCCGTGGACAGGGCCACGAGCGGTACTTCCTGCTGGTCGTCGACGACTACACGCGTTACACCACGGTCTTCCCCTTGCAGCGCAAGGGGGAGGTCCCTGATGTTTTGATCCCCTGGATCCGCGCTGTTCATCTCCAGCTCCGCGAGCGGTACCACTCGGACTTTCCTGTCCTGCGTCTGCACTCTGACAGAGGTGGTGAGTTCTCCTCCGACCTCTTGGCAGCCTTCTGTGCGGAGCACGGCATCCGTCAGACGTTCACGCTTCCGGCCTCTCCGCAGCAGAATGGGGTTGCTGAGCGCCGCATTGGCTTAGTCATGGAGGTCGCTCGTACCTCCATGATCCATGCGGCTGCCCCCCATTTTCTGTGGCCGTTTGCGGTCCGGTACGCCGCGCATCAGCTCAACCTCTGGCCCCGTGTCTCCTTGCCGGAGACCTCGCCCACACTGCTGTGGACGGGGAAGGTTGGCGATGCGTCGCATTTCCGGGTCTGGGGTGCTCGTGCCTTTGTTCGCGATACCACCGCGGACAAGCTCTCCGCTCGCGCCATTCCCTGCGTCTTCCTTGGCTTTGTCCCTGACGCGCCTGGCTGGCAGTTTTACGACCCCGCCTCGCGCCGTGTCTTTCCGTCTCAGGACGTCACCTTTGACGAGTCCGTCCCCTTTTACCGTCTCTTTCCCTACCGCACTGCCCCTCGCCCCCCCCCGCCGCTCTTTCTCGCCCCAGGTCCTCCCCAGGTAGACCCCCTCCCCGCGCCAGGTCCTGCTCCTTCAGGTGTTTCTCAGTTAGAACCTCCCTTGCCTGCGCCTGTTGAGGTCACTGGTGACTCAGGTCCTGCTGGGGGTGGTGCTGTCTTTGGGGGTGCTGGACCTGGGGGTGCGGAGCGTGGGGGTGCGGAGCTTGGGGGTGCTGAGCCTGGGGGTGCGGAGTCTGGGGGCGCTGAGCCTGAGCGTGAGGAGTCTGGAGGTGCTGAGCCTGCGCGTGTGGAGACTGGAGGTCCTGAGCCTGGGGGTGCTGTGTCTGGGGGTGCTGAGCCCGAGCGTGAGGAGCCTCGGGGTACTGAGTCTGGGGGTGCGACGCCTGAGGGTTCTGAGTCTGCTGTTGCGCGGTCTCCTTGGAGTAGCCACCTTCGTCCGTGTGTGCCTCTCACCTCACTGCAGCTGCACGACTGGTACGGTCGCCGTCAGGGTCGCGCTTCTGGAGCTCGGGGCTCTGCCGCTGGAGGTACTTCTGCTGACGTCACTGGAGCTGGGAGTGGTGCTGGTCCCGGAGGTGCTCGTACTGGAGGTACTGGAGCTGCTGGGGCTCGAGGTGCTGAGCCTGAGGGTGCTACTGCTGGAGACCCTGGGTCTGGGGGTGCTGCTGCTGGGGACACTGAGGCTGGAGACCCTGGGACTGGAGGTGCCGGTTCTGGGGGTGCTGCTGTTGGTGGAGCTGGTCCTGGAGGAGCTGGCGCTGAGGGTTCTGGAGCTGCTGGAGGTGCTGGAGCTGCTGGGGGTACTGGAGCTGCTGGTGCTGGTGTCACTGCACAGCCGCGCCTGTTCTTCGCTCCACCGTCTCCGTCGTCTCAGCCACCGCCTGACTCTGTGCTTCGCCAGGTTCTTAGTCTCCCTTCGTCTACTGGTCTTCCGTTACAGCCTGGCTCACCGCTGCCTGCTCCTTCTCCTTACACTGAGCAGACAGGGGGTCTTACTGAGCGTCGTGAGCCTTCGTCGCGTCCTATCTCGCTTGTCCGTTCTGGTCGTTCCGGTCGTCGTTGTCCTCGTCCCCGTCAGCCGGCAGTCCCTGGCACCCACCTCGTAGTCCGTCGTCCTTCCTCTCCTCCGCAGCGTGTTCCTCTGCCGTCTCCTCCTGCGTCTTCTCTGCCTGTCGTTGCGGACCCTGAGTTTGACCGGTTTCGTGCTGAGCACCCTACTGTCACGCGTCTGCTAGCCACTGTTGTCACTGACCCGTCGTTTGAGTCTGCTGCTGCGTCTGCCTTAGTCGCTGAGCTGGTTGACTTTGCTGCTGCCTGTCGTCTAGACTACGCTGCTAGTCTTGTTGCTGAGTCTGAGTCTGTCTGTCCTCCGTCCGTTGGGGGTGAGTGTGCTCTTGGCACGGACGTCCTTGAGGACAGACAGGAGGACCTTGAGTGTCTTGCGGCCGCTGCGCCTCATCTCGTGGCCATGCTGATTGCCCCTGAGGGAGACCCGGATGCACCAGACATCCCGACCCCGTGCTCTTACGCTGAGGCGATCGCGGGTGAGTACTCCTCTCAGTGGCAGACAGCCATGGACGCAGAGATGGCATCCTGGAAGTCCACAGGCACGTACGTCGATGAGGTTCCCCCTCGCGGGGCGAACATCGTCGACGGCATGTGGATTTTCAGGGTGAAGCGGCCGCCAGGTTCTCCGCCTGTCTTCAAGGCTCGTTACGTTGCTCGAGGCTTCAGTCAGCGGGAGGGAGTTGACTTCTTCCAGACTTTCTCCCCCACCCCGAAGATGACCACTCTTCGGGTGCTGCTGCACGTTGCCGCTCAGCGTGACTACGAGCTTCACTCGCTTGACTTCAGCACAGCTTTCTTACAGGGCAGCCTGCACGAGGAGATCTGGCTGCGCCGCCCACCTGGCTTCATTGGGTCGTTCCCTCCTGGTACCCAGTGGAGCCTACGGCGGCCGGTCTACGGTCTCCGCCAGGCGCCACGTGAGTGGCACGACACACTGAGGACGACACTTGCGGCTCTTGGGTTTGCTCCTTCGACTGCTGACCCGTCGCTGTTTCTGCGCACCGACACTTCGATGCCGCCGTTCTACATCCTCGTGTACGTCGACGACTTGGTCTTTGCCACTGCTGACACTGAGGCTCTCGCCCTGGTGAAGTCGGAGCTGCAGAAGAGACACACGTGCACAGACCTGGGTGAGCTGCGCAGATACCTTGGCTTGCAGATCACCCGGGACAGAGCACGCTGCACCATCACTCTGACTCAGTCACACATGGTGCAGCAGGTCCTTCAGCGCTTCGGCTTCACCTGGTCCTCGGCACAGGCCACTCCTCTGGCTACAGGTCACTCGCTCTCAGCTCCACCTTCGGACGAGTCCGTAGAGCCGAGTGGTCCTTACCCAGAGCTAGTTGGCTGCCTCATGTACCTGATGACCTGCACTCGTCCTGACCTCGCGTACCCTCTTGGCCTTCTGGCTCGCTACGTGGCTCCTGGTCGGCACCGAAAGGTGCACATGGATGCTGCTAAGAGGGTACTGCGCTACTTGTGCAGTACACCGGGCATGGGGCTCGTGCTTGGAGGACGGGGCGACGTTGTCCTCACTGGTCACTCGGACGCTTCTTGGGTTGACGACCAGGCTGCGCAGCGGTCGTCACAGGGTTACACCTTCAGTCTTGGCTCTGGCTCTGTTTCTTGGCGGTCTACGCGCTTGTCTTCTGTTCTCGGCTCCAGTTGTGAGGCTGAGATCTACGCCACAGCCATGGCTGCACAGGAGTTACGCTGGCTCACCTACCTGCTGACCGACTTGGGAGAGAGGCCTCGTTCTCCTCCAGTTCTGTACGTCGACAACAAGGCAGCCATTGCCTTGTGTCAGGAGCACAGACTGGAGCACAGAACGAAGCACATCGCTTTGCGTTACTTCCTGGCTCGAGAGTTGCAGCAGCGGGGTCAGCTTCGTCTTGCTCACGTGGCCACTCGGGCCAACACTGCTGATATATTCACCAAGGCACTTCCGTCTGGTGATCATCAGCGCTTTTGTACCTTGTTGGGCCTTGTGCCTACGTTTCCGCACTTGCTGTAGACTCTGCTTGTACTGTGATCTATATATATATACCTGCATGCTTGCTCTTGCTAGGTAGAGATCACTGTACTGTTCTTGTTGCATATATACCTCTGCATGTGAACTGGCCTTGTGGCCTTTTGCTTGTGCTCAGTGTGTGTGGTGACGTTGTGATCCACCCTGAGCTTGCTTTGCTTTTCTTGACTGGTCTTGTGACCTCTTGCTCTCCCCCACTTTGCCTATGGGGGTGTGTCAAACATATGCATATGCTATATTTGTGGGTAGGCTGTAGTGGGGTAGATAATGTGGGGTATAACCCCTTAGGGTTTTCTCCTTGTACCATCCCCTCGATAGTCAACTCCATTCATGCCTAGTTTCTAAGACGTCCAGCCGCAGTGAGTGCCTACTGATGTGATGGGCAGAGCGGGAGGGACAGAGGGGGATGACCAGCTGAGGGGGGGATGGTGTCACATTGAAAGCTTGATTGATGGGCGGTGGACAGGAAGGGAACGGGCTGGGGAGATGGGAAGGACAGAAGGGTAAGGACAAGGGGGAGAGGGGGAAGGACAAAGGGGGAGAGACAGAGGGGGGAGGAACAGGGGGGAGGGCAGAGGGGGAGAGACAGAGGGGGAAGGACACAGGTGGAGAGACAGAGGGCGAAGGGCCGAGAGGGAGAGACAGAATGGGAAGGATGGAGGGGGAGGAACAGAGGGAGAAGGGCAGAGAGTGAGAGACAGAGGTGAGAGCGGGTTTACCGCCCAATCTAATGTCCTTTGCCTCACCTGCTTCCCCCCTCCCTCCTCCCTGCTTCCCCCCTCCCTTCCCCCTGCTTCCCCCCTCCCTCCTCCCTGCTTCTCCCCTCCCTCCTCCCTGCTTCCCCCCTCCATCCTCCCTGCTTCCCCCCTCCCTCCGCCTTGGGTCCCCCCTCCCTCCGCCCTGCTTCCCCCCTCCCTCCGCCCTGCTTCCCCCCTCCCTCCGCCCTGCTTCCCCCCTCCCTCCGCCCTGCTTCCCCCCTCCCTAAGTCCTGCTTCCCCTTCCCCTCTCCCTGCGCCCTGCTTTCCTGCTTTCCCCCATCCCCTTCCCTGCTTTCCCCCATCCCCTTCCCTGCTTCCCCCCATCCCCTTCCCTGCTTCCCCCCATCCCCTTCCTTGCTTCCCCCAATCCCCTTCCCTGCTTCCCCCCATCCCCTTCCCTGCTTCCCCCCAACCCCTTCCCTTCTCTACACGGTGCGTAGCAACACACACGCACATGCATAAGTTCTTCGATGACTGGATCCCCTGGCACAAGTGATGAGCGTCTCTCTCTCACTCTGCTGCCGCAATTCTGCCCCCCCTTGTGCCTGCCGCCTGCTGTCCATGCCTTCCATCCCACCACGTCTTTTTTTAAATGTGCCTGATCCCTCTGGCTCTTCCACTCACTCCACTCTCTCCCCATTCCTCCCCCTTTGCTCCCCCTCTTCCTCGCGGCAGGCCACCGAAGCACCGCATCCAGCAGATCTTCGAGTGGATCTGCCCTGAGGCGAGCTGGCGGAGCTGTGAGGCAGCCTCTTCTCGAAACTGCCTTCAGCCTCCCCTGCTGCCCAGCAGGATGCCGCGGAGCATTGATGTGGGAGGGGGCAGGCCATGCTGGCAGAAATGATGGCGGCAGCGCACGTCAGGTCATGTGCGGTGGGGCAAGGCTGGTCTGCGCTGCTGTGGGCCGGGGGAGTGCAGAGTGGTGCAGGGACCAGCACGGCATGTCGCTATGTGGCCAACCGAGATCCTTATGAGTTGCAGGATCTGAGCTTGAGATCCCTACGTTCCTGAAATGTATTGCTAATGTGTTTCTTGATATGCCATTTTTATAATTCACAATTTGCTTTCAATGCTTTTCTGCACCTATTCAGCACTTGAAATGTTGTGTTTTTCTGAAGTGAAGTCTCAAAACCATCCAAACATTTTAGTAAATTAGAAATTGTAAAAATAGTGTTCAGTGTACTGCCTCACTCTCACTCGCGTGAGTTTCGCGTTGCCCACCATTTCAATCCCAAGAGAAGCGCAGTGTGCCCCACCAGTGGTGGGGCTGGAGCAGTGCTCTGTCGCACACAGAGTCGTTCGGCCCTCCCATATCCTCGGAAAGAACTGTCGCATAGTATCGTGGCGAAGGCTGTTTTAACCGCCTTCTGAATTCGCTTTCGCCCCACACACATTCTCGAAATAAACGATTTTTTTTTATTTTCGCCAGACTGTTTCAACCCCACATAACTTGAAAATTTAAAATGCTGACCTCGGGCTTTAATGTATCCCGGGATGTGTACCATAGAGGGTGACTGTTATGAGTGCAATTGAATGAGCGAGTGAGAATTGCACTATCGAAGCAATCAATACAGTCGAGCGAAAAGCATGAGCGAAGTTATATAGCGAAGCTAGCGTGGTAACGGTAATGCGGGAAATTGGGGTGCGCTACGGGCCTAGCGCCGAGGTTGGGAATTGCCGAGGCGGAGGTCCGGAGCGCGGGTTACCAACCGAACCGTGAGGTTGGGTCGCATCGTGAACAGTGGCGGGAGTCGTGGTCGAGGCGAATGTCGCGAGCGGGTAACGTTCACGGATGGGTGCCGATGGCGGGAACGGGTATGTACGCGGTAAGCAGGGACGCGAAGTAAGGAAAAGGAATTTTCCTTACACTTCCCCCCTCCCCAAGGAGGCCCCTCTTACGAGAGCGCGTGTACATCTCGAAAGTTCCGGCTACGCAGATACTCAGTCAGGGCAGGGTGATTCTCAATTCTATCCAGGGGGACCCAGTTGTCTTCGGTGGGCGTGCGGTCTTTCCAGCGGATCAGAAATTCGATCCTGCGGGCTCCCCGTGGGTCACGTACTCGGTGGCTCAGTATTTTTTCGGGCGTGATGATTGGCTCTGTCGGTGGTCGTGTCATGCTGGCGGGGCGGTTGCGAGGCAGTTGACTGGTGGATGGTAGATATGGGCGAAGCAGGCTGACGTGGAATGACGGGCTGACGTACCAGTCAGCAGGGAGGAGGAGGTGGGCGGTGACGGGTGTGATCATGTGGCTGATGCGAAATGGCCCGCAATATCGGGGGCGGAGTTTTGGGGTAATGGGCAGGCGGAGATTTTGAGTGTCGAGTAATACCAGGTCGTCTGGTTGGTAAGTGACGGGGCGGCGGTGTCGGTCGGCGTTGCGCTTAGTGATGACGTTTGATTTTTTTATTGCTTCTGCTGCTCGGGTTCGTGCTGCTTGCAGTATTTCTGCGAACTGTTGCGCGCGTGGGACTGGGTTGTCGGGATTCGGGGTCATGGTTACTGTGGGATCTTGTCCGTAGTTCAGGAAAAACGGTGACTGTTGGGTCGTGGCAGATGGCGAGTTGTTGTACGCGAACTCGATGAGTGGCAGTTGCTGTTCCCACGTGGTCGGGTCGTCGCACGTGGCTCGGATGAGCTGTTCCATGGTCTGATTTGTCCGTTCTGTCTGTCCGTCGGTTTCGGGGTGGTATGATGAACTGAACTGTAGTCGCGTGCCGAACTGCTGCCACAGGTTCCGCCAGAAGTTGCTGGTGAACTTCGTGTCTCGATCGCTGATAATTGATGCTGGTATCCCGTGTAGTCGAACGACGGTGGAGATGAAGAGGCGGGCTGTTTCTTCGGCTGTGATTGATTTCTTGCAGGCTGCGAAGTGTGCCATCTTCATCAGCCGATCGACGACGACCAGGATCGCGTCGTTCCCACTTGCTCCAGCCGGTAACCCCGTGACGAAATCCATCGTCACCTGCTGCCAAGCACGCTCTGGGGGTGGTATCGGCTGCAACTGTCCTGCCGGTCGTTGTCGTGACGACTTCATGAGCTGGCAGGTGGGACACGATGCCACGTGTCGTTGCACGTCGGTCAGCATCTCGGGCCAGTAGAAATACCGCTGCAGCTGCTGCCGTGTCTTCTCTACTCCGAAATGTCCTGAGGTAACCCCGTCGTGTGCCTCCTGTAGTAATAACTCCCTTAGTCAAGTGTAGCCCGGTACCCAGATGCGGTCGGTGCCGGCTTTTACGTAATAAACCCCTTTTGCTGCTGCGAACTGCTGCGAGTTTCCCCCTGTGAAGAACGGGTCTGTCTGGTATCCGTGGGTGAATAGGCCTGTCAGTAGTGGGCTGGTCTGGGCAAGTAGTATCGCGTGGATTTGGGCAATAGGGCGGGTCAGTGCGTCGGCAATGTTCGATGCTCCCTTTTTATAGGTGACCGTGTAGTGGAAGTTTGACTCGAGAAAATCGAGCCAGCGGATCTGTCGTGGGTTGAGGTGGGGTTGTGCGCGGAGGTAATGTAGTGATCTGTGGTGTGTCCGTACTGTCACGGCGGCGCCGATCAAGTAACAGCGCCAGACCTTGAATGCATGTACGATCGCGAGCATTTCGCGGTCGTGTATCGGGTAATTCTTCTCGGGCGGATGCAGTTTTCGTGACTCGTATGCGATGGGCTGTAAACCGTTGCCGAAATCCTGTAGCAGTACGGCTCCAATGGCGATATCGCTTGCGTCTGTAACGACTTCGAATGGGCGGTGTGGGTCGGCGATGCGCAGTACGGGCGGTGAACAGAGAACATTTTTCAGGGCAGAGAAGGCAGCATGCTCTTTCTCCCCCCACGTAAAAGCGACCCCCTTCCGCAGTAGATCCGTCAGCGGGGCAGTTAACCGTGCCATGTCGGGGACGAACCGACACACATAATTAACGAACCCCAAAAAACTCTGCAGCTCCGTGATATTCGTCGGGGGGTGCCATGCTTTGACCGTGTCCAGCTTCTTCGGGTCGTTCTCAACTCCAGCCTCCGAAATAACGTGCCCCAAAAATTCTAACCTATCCTGGAAGAACTCGCACTTGGAACCCTAGGTCAGTAGTCTGTGCTCGTCTAAAACTTTAAATACTGCTTCCAGATCTGCTAAGTGCTGCTGCTTATCACGACTGTAGACTAGGATGTCGTCGAGGTAAACTATCACGCATTTATCTAAGAGTGGCCTAAACGCCTCGTTCATGGTCATCTGAAATGTCGCCGGTGCGTTGGTCAGCCCGAATGGCATCACGGTGAACTCGAATGACCCGTACCTAGTTCGAAATGCCGTTTTTACGCAGTCCGATGGTTCGACCCGGATCTGGTGGTAACCTCCCCGTAAATCAATTTTTGAAAAGACCCGTGCTGTTCGCAGCTGATCTATCAGTTCGTCGGCGCGGGGAATGGGGTATCGCGACTTGACTGTAACCCTGTTCAGTGCTCTGTAGTCGATGCACATGCGGAAACCTCCGTCCTTTTTCGGTGTGAACAGTATCGGTGCGGCGAACGGTGATGAACTCGGTCGGATAAATTTCTTCTCCAGTAGGTAATCTAACTGCTTCCTCAGTTCGTCGAGCTCGAGCTGTGTCAGTCTGAACTGTCGCTGTACGGTTGGCTGTGCCCTGGGTTCTAACTCTATTCGGTGGTCGTGTGCTCGCTGAGGTGGCAGTCCTTCCGGTAAGTCGTCGGGAAAAATCCCCGGGTACCGTTTCAACAGTTCCTGTAGTTCGGGCGGTACCGCTGCTAACAGATTCTTGAAATCGCTGGGCTGTTCTGCTTCTTCTACCACTGCGATGTCCACTGCGTACACGCTAGCTCCAGCGGCGACTGCCCGTTTCATTGTGATAGCATTGACGTGGACCGTTGAAGACTCAGGCGACTGCCAGCGATGTAGCTCAACCCAGTTACCGCTACTTCGCACAGTGCAGCTACCTGTCGTCCAATCGATTCGCGGGTTATATCGTCGCAGCCAATCACGTCCCAGTAAAATGTCGTGCCCATCCAATGTCGTCGCGAGCATTTCCTGTGTAAACCCAAAGTTCCCCCCGCAGCGGACCTTTACTCTCTCCACCTTCTCCCGTATGGCCAGCGGCGTTCCGTCCACTAAGCGTGCATCTATTTCCGGTAAACACCGACTAAGTGCCAGTTGCAGCTTCCGGGCGGTCGCGGTATTAACTAAACTGTGACTTGCTCCTCCGTCTATAAAAATCTTCACTACTGCTCCCTGTATTTTCCCGTGGATCAGTACTGGGCAATCCGTCGCTGTACCCTCCTTATTCGTCCGAGCCCGATCGATAGCATGAATCGGTACTGTGACTCGGTGAGGGTCGGTGAGGTTGGGCGTGCAGGCAGTCTCGTCAGTAGTTGGCCCGATTCCTACTGACTGCTGGCGTTTCCCTGCCTTGGAGACTCCCTCCCCTGCTCTGCTCCGCGGCGCCTCAGCTCCTCTGGGCACTCACTCTTGCGATGGCCCGGCCTATTGCAAGCAAAGCAGCGCCCCTTAAACGGCGCGGCAGCTGCATTTGTCGCAACGGCATGTACAGTGGCGTGCTCGATCGGTCCCCGAGGGCGATGTCCGTAGTAGGACCCCGGTCTCGGACGGCGTAAGATATCGATTTTCTCGGCGAGCGCGAGAATCTCGTTGAAATTCGAGAGTCCGCGTAGCATGATTTCGTGCGAGATGTCCGGCTTCAACCCTCCGACGTAACGGTCCACCCGCTCCGCTTCGTGCATGTAGCCGACTTGCTCGCATAATGCGAGAAAACCACTCGTGTAGTCTTGAACCGACCCGAGCTGCCGCCAAGTACGCAGTCTCTGACGCGCCGAAATAGAAGCCGCGATCGGCTCGAAACGCGCCCGAAGCCCTGCGCACCACGCATCCCACGTGCTGTACTGGGCTGTTTCGCAGAATGAACTCCAGGTGACGGCTGGACCCGTGGGCCCTTCCTCTTGCGACGGTGGCTCGTAGGCGCGTGGCGACGTCACGATGACTCGCCACCAGTCCATGGCGGGGCCCCTCAGCAGCGAAACAGCGTAACGAATCTTCGCTGCGTCCGACTCGACGTAATTCGCGTCGAAGAAAACGTTCATCGTGAAGACCCACGATTGAACCGTCGGACCTCCACGTTGGCTCGGATCGAAACAGGGCGGGCGCTGCGGCTTGAGTGGCATTGGTGCCATGATGTCGTGGCTGCCACTTGTTGCTGCAAACTCCACGTGCCGACGAGCTTCGCGAGGCCCACGCGGGCTTGGCGCGGCCCGATTTCTCTCCATGCCAGGCATCGATTGAGCGGCGCCATCACTGGCTGCGCCTGAGCGCTGTCCCACGCTGTCGTTTTGCGTCGGTGTGCCTGATGAGATGACGATCGGTTCTTCTGATTGCGCAGGTGCATTTGCGAGTGCTTGTGATGGAGCTGGCGCATTCACCGTTGATTGCTGGCGGGCGGAGTCCCGTTCCGCCGTGAGTGTCGCGATTTCGAGCGCCGAGTCTTCGAGTTGGCGCACGAGACGGTCGAGTTGCTCCTGCGTTAATGTCGCAAGAGTAATTTCGGCCATGGCGGGGGTGTCGGGCAAGCTCAGCGAGAGCCTCTGTCGTGGCCGTGCGTGCTTACGAGAGAGCACTTCGAGCGGCGGTGCTTGTTCGCTGAGAGACGTCTACCCCCCCAAAAATTGAGATAATGGGGAAGCGAAGGTGTGGGCGCGGTCCGAGAGGAGGTCGTAGGCTCTGAATACCAAGTGTTATGAGTGCAATTGAACGAGCGAGTGAGAATTGCACTATCGAAGCAATCAATACAGTCGAGCGAAAAGCATGAGCGAAGTTATATAGCGAAGCTAGCGTGGTAACGGTAATGCGGGAAATTGGGGTGCGCTACGGGCCTAGCGCCGAGGTTGGGAATTGCCGAGGCGGAGGTCCGGAGCGCGGGTTACCAACCGAACCGTGAGGTTGGGTCGCATCGTGAATAGTGGCGGGAGTCGTGGTCGAGGCGAATGTCGCGAGCGGGTAACGTTCACGGATGGGTGCCGATGGCGGGAACGGGTATGTACGCGGTAAGCAGGGACGCGAAGTAAGGAAAAGGAATTTTCCTTACTGTGACAAACGTTGGTGTGTTTCGTAAGTGATTCTTTTATCTCAGAAATAAAATCAGCTAGCATCACGGGATGTAACACTTCACGTCCATCCCATCCCTTTCGCGAGCGCAACACCCAAAACCTCGGCGTCAGAGCGACATATACCCGCCAACCGCGCGCGTTGCGCAACATTTCCCTCCGCGCCCCGAGCCCCTCGCCCTCTGCAGTCCAATCTCGGTTCTTCCCCGCATTCCCTCCCCGTCCCCCCGCTCTGCGCCAACCACACCCTTTTCTCTCTACTCCGCCATTTCTTTCTCCTCTTCGCGCTCCTTACCTCCCTCGCTTTCCTAGGCCTCGCCGCTTCCCCCTCCCTAAGAATCCCCCTCGCGTCGCTTAGCCGTCGCCACCATGCCGCCCAAAATGGATCCCACGGCCATTGTGGACGTGTTCGTCCGCGTGACGGGCGGCGAGGTCGGCGCGGCCTCGTCGCTGGCGCCTAAGATCGGTCCGCTGGGTCTGTCGCCCAAGAAGATAGGAGAAGATATCGCCAAGGAGACGGCCAAGGAGTGGAAGGGGCTGCGCGTTACCGTCAAGCTGACCGTGCAGAACCGACAGGCTAAGGTGTCCGTCGTTCCTAGCGCCGCGGCTCTGGTCATTAAGGCTCTTAAGGAGCCGGAGCGCGACCGGAAGAAGACGAAGAACATCAAGCACAACGGTAACATCTCCATGGATGACGTCATCGAGGTCGCGCGCGTGATGCGGCCACGATCCATCGCGAAGGAGCTTACCGGCACGGTGAAGGAGATTCTTGGGACGTGCGTGTCGGTTGGATGCACTGTGGACGGCAAGAGCCCTAAGGACGTTCAGCAAGAGATCGACGACGGCGAGATCGAGATTCCCGCCAACTAGATATACCTACCCGGTTACCATGTAACACGGTTGTGCTGGTCGTGGTGGCGATTTTTAACGATGTGGCGATGCCGAGGAAGGCTCTCGTGCTCGCTAAGGCCTGCCTCGCTCTAGACCCTGCTCTGTGTCGCTTGCTCTGTCGCATTATGTCCGCCTTAATGCAAACAATGAAGTTCGTTTTCCCCCTTCTTGTCTATCGATTCGTTCTCTTTTTTCCGTTTGTTTACCTCGGTTTCCGATCCCAACTGCCGCTCTTCCGCGCGCCCGATTACTGGCCGCGTGCGCGCACGGGTCAGGCAGGTGGGATGCGATGCGCTGAGTAGAAATTTGACGGCTGCTTTGTTCCGCGAGCAGGGGTTGTGAGCAGAGCAGCAGCCGTATTAGCCGGGAATTATATAGTTCTCCTCCCAGCTATTCGTTCCGTTCACAACCCTTTCATGCCACCGAGCCCACTACCTCCAGACCGTCAGGCCTCCTGTCACACCCGTTCATCCGCTCATCCGCTCGCCCACATGCCTTCCTCCTGCCGGCCTCCCTGGAACCTTTGCTGATTCTCCTCCTCCGCCCCCTTTCACATTCCCACCGCCGTCCCGTCTTCCTCCGTCCCATTCGTTCCTCTTCCGTATCTCCCCGCTTCTCGTCTCTCTCCCTCGTCTGTCCTGCTGCTATCCATCCCGCATTTTTCCCGTTCGTCTCGCTGCCTGCCCTACTCCTTGCCGCACCGCTCTCCGCATTTTCGTACGCCCGCTTTTCCTTGCTGAAGCACGTCCGCCCTCCCCCTTCAACCACCCATTGTCTTGGCGTTTTCTCTGCCTCCCTCGTCCACCATCCGCCTGCTCGCTGCTCTGTCGCCCCTACACTGTCTCCTTCCCTGTTATCCACCAGCATTTCCTCATTCTCTCACTCTCCCTCTTTCCCTGCAACCCATCACGGCACACTCTCGTCTTGCCTCTGTCTCTCCCTTCCCGTGCCACACCATACTCTTCCGCTCTTCTCCTCGCCTCATTCGTGCCCTCTACAGTCCTCTCCTCTATCTCACAACTGTGTACATACACCGTACCTACATTCCTGTTGTCCTCCATACTCTCCCCCCCCTTTCCACTTATGCCAACACCTCAATCCAACCCCTCAACTCAACGCTCTCTGCCTTGACTAGTCTACCTTCACTGTGGACAGCTAGATTGGGAGCGTCATAAGCTGCGGTGAATAAACAATAGTCCAGTGCGTAAGCTGTTGTGACAACATAACCTTCTGGCAATGCCTGGCATATTTAGGTTGTCTCGGCATTTGCAATATTGTTCTTTTAGGAGATCATCCAAATGGAATGCTGCACCAATTATGTTCGCGGCAATAGCCAACATGGACAGTCGCAGTGTGTGACACTTCAATAGTAACGGGTATGCCCGTTCTCTTTTCGTTAGTTACAGTATCACTCGTCAAGTCCAGTACAATCTTCCGTTCGCCCCTCTTCAATTGGTCGTCGCCATTGCGCGATCCCCCAACGCCGCCATGCACGCCGTTAGCTCCCTCGCCGTGCTCCCCGCTTCGCGCTTCGCGTTGTCGCCATGCCGCGGCGGCGCATCACTGCACGTCGCGCAAAGTCGCCTGGATGCGTGCAGCGGGCCGGTCCCCGCCAGCCGTGCGCGCTGCATGGGGGGCGACGCGCAGAGCGGCGGTGGCGGGTTCAGCGGCGCTGAGTCGAGCGCCAAGGCAGGTGAGGCAAGGACGCAGTGGCCTACGAATAGGGGGAAGAATGGAAGAGGGTGATTCTGTGACCATTCCGAAGTTGTTACTGTGTTTGACAGAATGACGACTCGTCGCTCCTACCCTCGCCCATCCCGCCGCCCATCCCGCCGCCCATTCCGCCGCTCATCCCGCCGCTCATGCCGTCGCTCATTCCGTTTCTCATTCTGCCGCTCATCCTCACCGCGCAGTGGCGGGCGCGCGCACGGCGCGGGGGAGCGGCGGCGCGCAGGTGATGGAGCTGCGCGTGGACGAGATCCGACGGCCGTTGATGCGCACGCGATCCAACGACCAGGAGAAAGTGGCGGCGCTGATGGCGAGCATTCAGGAGATCGGGCTGCAAGAACCGGTGAGCGCGCCACGGCTGTGCACACTGTGATGCTGTGGTGCTCTGATGCTTCAATGCCGCCAGAGTTATTCAAAGATGGTGTAAGGCAAGCCTGCTTTGATCCAACGCTCTCACCCCTGTCGCTTGCGCTTTGAGCGATCCCATCATCCCACCTCCTCACCTCATCGCCTTTGTCTCTTGCTCAACCCGCACGAGTCTCTCTTTCTCGTGCCTCCTCGCCCATCATTCCGCGATTCCACTGCATGCATGTGTTGCTGCGTGCGTGCAGATTGATGTGCTGGAAGTGGAAGGTCTATACTATGGTGAGTCACTTCTCACACCCCTTCCCATGCATAATCCCTTCCCATGCACACACCATGCCTTTCCTCATGCACACAGCATCACCTCATGCCTGCCTGTCCGCACTCCCTGTGGCTCCACCCAACTCCTTCCTTCCTTGCTTCCACGCCTCCCATGTGTGCATGCATGCCACTGTCCCGCTCCTCACTCACCCCACCACCTCTGTCAACCTCGTCTACTGTAACCCGCCCTTCCTTAGCCCTTTGCCAACCTGGTTGCGTGGTCAGCGCCCCCACCCGTCGCTCCCTCCAATCCCTTTGCCTTGCTGCCCTGCCCCCACTGCTCGCCTGCCCCGACCCGACTCCGCGCCTGTGTCGGTTGCTCGTGTGTATCGGGTGCGTGTCTCGCCCCCCCCCCCAGGCTTCTCGGGGTGTCACCGCTATGAGGCACACCAGCGCCTGGGACTGCCCACCATCAAGTGCCGCGTGCGACGAGCCAGCAGGGACGTGCTCAGGTGCGTTCTCAGGTGGGGTGGGGGGGCCAGGGGCGTTGTAAGGTGCGTTCTCAGGTGGGGCAACAGAGGCACTGTGCATCTCCATCTGCATGCTTCTGCATTGGCCACTCTTTGGCCACTCTTTGGCCATTCTTTGGCCACTCTTTGGCCACTCTTTGGCCACTCTTTGTGCCGACTTAACTGGCAGGAATCAGCAGCACTGCCTGCAAGACTAGACAGTACTTGCTGTGTGCCATATCACACACACTGTGTCCCATGCCCTTCCTCCCCCCTTGCCTTCCCCCCATCTCATCCCACGGCAGAATGCATATGAGGTGATATTCATGATGGACCTCGCTCACCATGGTGCTTATCATGGTACTTACGGTACTGGGATTATTGTAGCTTTTTATGACATGGCCATCACCAGTTACGGTGCCCACTGCCCACCATGGTGCTCATCACACCAGTGCCCCCTCTGTGCCTTGCTTCAGGCACTCTAGGCCATCTGCATCAGTAAGATATGAGAAAGTTGCTTGTTATTATGTCCTGCATACATAGAACACTTCTTGCTTTCTCTCAACTAACCAGCACTTTCCTAAACTGCAGGAAGCAACTCCTCATCATCCCCTCTCCTCCGCATCTCTCCTACTGTAGGCATGCGGCCACACACCACTTGCCATTTCCAGATTCCAGCCCACACCCTGCCAGAACGGCTGGCACAGCTGACACCACAGCAGCGGAACCACCAAAGTCGCACGTGCCTTCCCCCTGCCCTGCTGCCTGGAAATACCTGTTCATTGCCACACTAGCCTGCACAGCCACCTGCCCGCTGCTGCTCTGCCCCGCCCAGCACCCACTGCCATCCCCATTCAAGTCCCCACACGCCACGTGCCCTGCCCCACACGCCCATGCCATGGCGTTCCATGCACTCTCCGCTGCTGCATCACACGTGGGCGGTGGGGAATCCGGCGGGGGGGTTTGTGGGGACGTGCTGGGAGGGGGTGGTGGGGAGAGGGACGGCGGTGCCGGTGACGGCGTGGGTGCGGGCACTGGCGATGGCGATGGTGAAGGGGTGGGTGGGTTAGGGGATCCCGATGAGGATTTCAGGTTGAGTGGGTACTTTTCAGAACCGTTGGCATAGTTGACGCCCCACGCGTGCTCGAACGCGCCGGGCCCCGCGTCTTTGAGATCCTCATCAAACATTGCAAAGACGTATGCGCGGATGGGCACGCCTGGGCGCTTGGGCGTGCCCTGGCCGGACGTGATGTGGTCGATGAGTGCTCCGTTGAACTCTGCTGCGTCTGAGAGGGATGCCACGGGTGATCCTGCTGTCGGCCACCCCACCTCGCCCACTGATGCAGGAGGGAGGGGGATGGGGAAGGGGATCGGGAAAGTGTTGGGGATGGGGAAGGGGATGGGGAAGGGGAGGATGGGAGGAGGCGAGGAGGGAGGAGAGGAATGCCAGGGGACAGGGTGGGTAGGAGGTAATAGAAGTTGAGGTACAGGCGAGGCCATGAGGAGATGCCATGCATGGGCGCGAGAGCGGGCTGGAGACCAGTAGCAAAGGCAGTGTGATGTGCCGCGAAGAGGGGTCTGCTACAATAGGGTGCGATGTGGGCACATGGGCACATGTGCATACACGCATATGGGAAAGTGTGGAAGCAGATGGAAGAGCAGAGCGAAGGCAAGTAGGGGCGAGACGAGAGCTGACCAGTGATGGGGATGTTGGGGAATCCGAGCTTTTCAAAGGCGGCGATAGCGGCGTCGATCATGGCGTCCAGCATGCTGCTGTAGAAGAGCGACCCGTCGCTGTACCCGCCGCTGGTTGCGCCCTTGAAGAACACGAGGTCGCGCGAGAGCTGCTGCGGCGCCGACTGGTACGCGAAGAACGGGTAGCAGTTGAGCACCGCGTGCGAGCCTGGAGAGTCCGAGAAGACGAGGGGGGAGTGGGTGGAGAGAGGGGTAAGGAGCGGGTAGGCTGATGAGGGGACGTGGGTAGAAGCACTGCAGGTGCTGCTGCTGCTTCTCAGTGCAGCTCGCGATGATGGCTACTACATCATCAATAGGGTGCTACGCAGTTGAACCATGGAGCCCATCCCGTTCCATTCCATCCCACCCCAAATCACCCATGACCCCATGCTCGAACACGGCGCACCTGTGCGGTTGAGGAAAGTGAGCAGCTTGGTCATTTCGTCGCGGATGCTGGGGTGCACGTCGGACGCGGACGGCGGGAAGGACGCGGCGAGAAACGTCATGTCCTGCGGGCTCGTCACCTTCACGCGCCCGTGCAGCTTGCGCGCCTCCAGCGCCGAGTAAAGCGACTCCATGGCCGGCACTAGAGAGTGGAGCGCGTCGTTCGCGCCCTCGCGCTGCCCCATCACCTCGTTGCCCACCTGCCACGTACGAGAAGGTTTACAAGTGATTCTCCAGATTAATTTTCAAGACTGTGTCGAGGAGCGGTCAACGGTGTGTTCCTGGCGTGGTGTACCCACATCATGCATGAACACGCCCGCCACGCGATCATGGCACACATGCACCCTCAGGCTGTGCCTGTGCATAGCAGCACTCCCATGGCTACTCATGGAGATCCCGGTCACGTGATATTCGCGCCCACGCCAAGTATACTTGTCTTATAAGACGATTTCTGAGGCGCCTCAAAAAGGATTTCCATGGCTAGTAACGGAGATCCCGGTGATGTTGCACTTGTCGGCGTATGGCAAGATACCGTATTCGCGTTTAGTCGCACCCACGCCAAATAAAACGATATATGAGGCGCCGCAGAAAGATTTTCCATGACTACTTACGGATATCTCGGTGATGTTGCACTTGTCGGCGTATGGCATGATATTCGCGTCCACCCACATCAGGGCCGCCGCGCTGCCCGCCGCGAATTCCGCCAGGCGGTCGTTGGGCACCGCCGTCACCACCTCCAGCCCGGACCCTGCGCGGAGGGGAGGAAAGCAGAGCACGGAACGGAGATGGTCTTACGAGCAGGTGAACGAGCACGTGTGAGCGCGTGTGAGCGCGCGTATTAAGAATGGTCGGGTGACTGGAATCGAAGGGATTTAAATATGAAATATGAGACGCAGACATGAAAGTGGCAGCAGCAAATGAGATGAGTGGACGCGGCGATCACAAAGCGGAGATTGAAGGCAATGGGAGAGGAAGGTGTATCTGGAGATGCCGGGAGTTTTTGAGAATTCTTAAAAACTCCCTGCACCGTCGAGGAAGGTGTATCTGGAGATGCCGTTCGTGGAGTCTCACCAGCTAGCGCGGTGAACGTGGGCCCGTCTGGGCGGAAAAGTTTCACCGCGGAGAATCCGCGCGCTTTGATGAGCGACACGGCGCGTGCTGGGTCCATGGGCTGCGACGACAAGTCAAGGCCGAGCGACACGCCCACCCATTGGCCGCTGCTGGCGCTGATTGTCGCGCAGAGAACGCAGATGACGAGGAATAGCCGCGAGCGTCGGGCGGCAGAGAGGTTGACCATGGCGAGTCCGCTACTGTAAGCGTTAGGCTGCAAAGGCTGGAATAGAGAACCCGACGAGCGCGTGCGAGAATGTACAATGAGTTATAGCGAGTCAGTTCCACCAGCAGTGCAAGAAAAGTAAATGATCGTCGTGGGTTGTGCGAGTGAAGGGCTCTGGCTTCATGTTGAGAAATCTCCTGTTATAAATACTAGGAACGCTGGGCTGGGAGGGGCTTGGTTGGGTTTGGTAACGAAGCGCACAGGTGGAATGGTTTGGAAATGGGTTGGGTTGGGCTTTGAAGGTGTTTCACATTGGGGAGGGAAATTCTGCCGCGCTGACCAGCGTGACCATTGAGGAGCGATGCGCGAGCATGGTCACAAGGACACGGCACGGCAGCCGTCGGATCTTGGAGCACACGCGGTGCGAAGGCGAGAATTGGTGGACTTTCCGTCACGGACAAGGCAAACCCCAATGAGTTGGTGGGCCACCATTATTGGTGCTTGGATGCAATTATCGGTCCGATATTGAGGGGCTTCTGTTCAGTGCCTTGGTGAATCAATATAAACTACCTTGAACTCCTGCACAAGCGCGTAAACAAGCACAAACATATTCAGATGCCTAAAACAACATCCACCATGTCACTTATTACGGTACCAGCTGTAAGCTCAATAGCTTCTCGTTTGCTCTGCACGCCCTTGGCAATAAGCTTGCACGCCTTTGGCAATGAGCTAGCACGCCCACGATTTTCTGAAGATACCCATTTTTTGACACGATACACAAAATGAAGGCCAATCTTTGACGCACTGGCCAGATATCACGAGCGTACACATGCATCCTTTCATATACATTGCGTATTGGGGCTTCTAGCCATCAAGAAATACCTGTACCACTCTACTCATGTGCAGCTGTTGGGTCCAACTCCTGCAAACAGGGGATTTTAAAACGGGTACAGTACAGTGGTGGAAGTACAGCAGCAGGCACAGGTGAAGAAGCAGGTGGGTGGGTGCATGCAGGCTGACATGGCTCAGGCATGTGTTTCTGTGGCACGAGTCAAAGAAAAAGAGGGAAAGAGGAAGAAGGGCAATGGTTTTGTGTGTGCAATGGGAAAGGTGTGGTAGAGCAGGGAAAAGGGCACCTTGGCGATGTCAATCTGCTGGCGGAACTTGGTGTAGGTGGACGGTGGCAAACCACCTCCTTCTAAAGAGCTCTCTAGCCGACGAGCCTCCTGCGAATATGCAACAAGGCATGACATCATGAATACGGGGATATACAGTTATGTGAGGAAAGGAGAGGCGAGCAGCTGCTGCTTCTAGTGGGCATTGACGGGAGACAATGTGCATTGAAGGGGAGTGAAAAGGGCACCTTTTGCAGAAAGTCTTCCCCAAATGCCACGGCAGCCTTCATGGCCTTGATATACAGCAGACCCACACTGCACATGCTCATGCACATGCACATCACATGGCCAGTCATGTGCATCACATGCAAAGCACATATGGGGTAGTCACATGCACATTAGAAGCATGCATGACACAGGCCTAGTACATGCCACTCACATATGACACACATCCATAGAGGCGCATTTTATGCTAACCAGCATCACAACCAGTGCAGTGGCACAACAAACCATCAGCAACACAACACAGCAGCAACCAGCCACCCACAGACATGGCTACCACAGACATGGCTATCCTCACACAACTTCCCCACTCAATGTACCCAGCCGTTCACCCAACACACTCTACCCTCTTATTATCCCCCTTGTCTATCTTACATTCGCCTCTACCCAGCCACATCCCCACCCGTCCCCTCCCCTTTCCCCCGTTCCTCACTCTTTGTCAGCCGCGCTCATCCCAGCCACGAGTGCTTCAGCCTTTGCAATGGCTGCCTCCCGCTGCTCCCCACTGCTGCCCGCTCGAAACGCCTGCACTACTGCTTGCAGGGCGGCCAACCGAGGACCACGCTGGGAGGAGGAAAGAGAGAAGGGTGCAGGGGGGAGAGAAGAGACAGGGAGGGAGAGGAAGCAAGGGTGTGTGACAAAAGAGTGGAAGGGGCAAGAGGGGAAAGTGGGAACATTTCAGGGAAGAGTGGACGGGTTGGAGCAGAGATGGAATTGCGGAGGGACCGGGAAGGTTAGGTGGCGTGTGAGTGCAGGGATGGGGAGGTGGGTGGGTTGGTGGGGAGGAAGAGACACTGTACAGCAGGGCTCAGGGTGGACAGACATACCCGTTCGCCGTGAAGCACGTAGCTCACTATCGCATCCGCTGTCCTCTCACCCTCATAGCTGCACATGCACGCACACATGCACCACGCACGCCCACACGCATGCACGCACACGCAGGCGCGCACCCAGACACACACATGCAGAGCGAGACAAGATAATTCCTTGTTGGGCTTACAAAGCTCAACAGAGTGACAGGAGCTGACAGCTCGTGGAAGCTAAGCCATGTCTGAGAGCAAGGCAGATGCGAGCAGTACAGGCGAAGGGGCCAGAGCAGCGCACCTGATCCCCATCTTGTTTTCTTGGTCGAAGTAGACCAGGTGAGGATACCTGCAGAACAGGTGCGGACAGAGAAAAGCAGGAGACAGAGGAGAGGACAAAAGAGAGAGTGCAAGGGGATCTGTGATCGAGGAGAAGAGGCGTGGAGAAAAAGAACTGGTTAGCCATTGTGCGGCAGGGGACAGCACGGGTTTGTGGAAAGAGCAAGGAGGAGGTATACCTGAAGAAGGGGAACAAACAGAAGAGACGAACCAAGTGCAGTCGATACGAAAGACTCAAGCTAAGCTCCTCCTCCAACCCTTTTGCCTCTTCTCCCTCTCCTGGCCTGCAACGCCAATATCTGCCCCCTCACGTGACTTACGAGGCGGCGTCGTATCGGGATGAGAGCTTCCAGTACCTATCGCCATCCACCTGGTGGCAGGGGGGTGAGGATGAGAGGGGTGGACCGCACGAGGCACACACACACGCAGCACATACTAGGTGAGGCTCGCCTTGTGCTGTTGAACCGTGCAGCGAGTGTGTGATGGAGAGAGAAAGTGGCAGAGGGCAAGGGAGGCAGGGACGGTGAGGGAGGGAGGTAACGGAGTGGAGAGAATTGCATGGTACAACGGAGATTCGAATTGATAAACAGAGAGAATAACAGCAGCAGCAGCGGCAAGTGGTGGTGGTGGTGGTGGTGGTGGTGGTGGGGTTGGAGGCAGGAGAGGGAAGGAGCGGCACCTTGGCGAGCAACACATCGGTGTGGGTTGCGAGCGACGTGGCGACGTCCTTGTATATGACCACCATCTCCTGATGCGCACCACACACACGGACCACATGGCACAGCCAGAGCCACACAGTTAGAGGGTGATCAGAGGGTGAGACGGAAGGGAGGAAGGAGCGTGGCACGTTCAACAATGGCTCCAAACGGTTCCCACCCCCACCCCCCCTGCCCAATTGCACCACCCTTCTGCCCCTCGCACCACACCGCACCTTGCTGAATCTGTCCCACGGCGCGTAGAAGAGCAGCAGCAGCTTCTGGCGGCCGTCAGCGAGCTTGGGAAGAGTCACATCGCCGACGTCAAGCACGCCATGAATCGCTGCCTCTGGCTGCTCCTCGTCCCACTCCATCGACACCCCCTCCATGCCCATCCCCGCGCCGTCTCCCTCCGCATCCGCGGTATAATCGTCCTCGTCGCTCACGCCGTAGCGCTCCTCGTAGTCGCCGAAGTCCTCCCCCGGCCCGATTCCGTCGAAGGAGATGCTGTCCGCGATGATGCTGCCGATGGCGTCTTGCGAGAGCGCGAGCGCGGAGAGCGGCGCGCGGAGGAGAGACGAGTGGAGCGAAACGACGACGAGGAGGAGGAGGGTTGCGAGGCGGGGTGAGGAGTGGCGGAGCGGCGAGAATGTGTGGAGCGGGGAAAGGAGAGGTCGCGAGGAGCGTGTCATGGTATAGGGTGAAATGACGGCTGTCGTGCGGTTGGGTGGTGCGTGGATTTACACACGTGAAAGGCTGGATGAACAAGTCGAATCTGATGGAGCAATTCGCGAAGGTGAGATTTGGCGTAAGGTTGGCCAGGTGACTGACTATACAAGCGGACGAGAAAGCATCTACAATCTTGTATCACCTGCACTGATTCATGAAAGCAGTTTTGAACCGCGAATACGTGCTAGGGCGCAGGATCAATCAGCTGACAGAAGCAGCTGACAGCATGATCAGCGGATTCTGGTTTGGAGGAGAAAGGCTACAAACGGGTATGCAAAGCGCAATCTCTAGGGTGTAGAAAGCGCAAATTTTCAACCGTGCAGCTCAATTTTGTGTATCTACTGAAGAGGCTCGTCAAAGTGCCAACCCATTGGGCACCACTTTCCCATTCCACATGTTATAACGGATGGAATTCCGATCTGCGAGCAGAAAGTGTTCCAGTCCTAGAGGCCGTTCCAGTCTGGCCTCGATTCCCGATTCATCCGCCAGCATAGCTGCTTAGTTACTAGGCCTCGTTTCTGACGCACGGCATTCCTGTGCCTGCTGCCGCGTGCTTGGTGTCTATCTCAGTTGTGTGCGAGGTCTCATACCCCTGGATCGCGCATCTCCCAGGATCGAGCTAGATCTGATCTTGTCTACACGCATTCGCGGGTGACGACGAGAAGGAGGTTTACGTGGTCCCTTGAGGCTGTAAATCCACGCTCTCTTCGGCTCTCGCGAACGTGTTTTACTTAAATACAGTTCGATTAGAGGATTAGACAGTCGCAACAACGGTGCAGAGAACGCGCGATACTTAGGGTGAGAGGGAGGAGAGCAAGTGCGAGAGAAAGAAATCCAGTTGCCGGTAAAACTTCGGTTTAGCAGCAGCGAGGCTAACGCAGGGACTGCGATGGGCGACACACTCAAAGACGTCAAGGCTCTGATGGAAAAATTGGCCAGCGCTTACAATCGGGATGACATCCCAACCTGCGCGTCGCTAGTGTCGCAACTCAAGGTAAGCCAGAGTTTCCTGATCGACCGAACGTGGCGGTGAAGTGACTAGTTTGGCGTGATGAATGCGACTGGCGGAGACGGGATCGGCATGGATGATATGGATCATATCGGCCCATAGCCCTCCATCTGTTCCACGGTCAAGGGCAAGGCTGAAAGGCCTCAAGCTAGATTCCAGCTGTTGAAGGGCCGATTGATCACCGCATGAGCCCTTTCTTGTCTACTGCCATGTCGGAGGCGTATCAATAGCAGGAATCATCAATTATTTCGGAACAAGAGTGTCGTTGCTCGTAAATAATTCTCGTCCGCAATCCCTGCACGCTTAAAACCCTTGTCTGTCCATGCTTGTTCTCCCCCCACATGGCCCTCCCGCATGGCCTCCCGTAAACCATGTCTAAGTTTCTCCTACCACACACCTTATTCCCCTACCTTGTCGTCCCCTGCAGCTTAAGCTAACACTGCTGCCATCTCTACCCCCGCTGTACGAGCAGTCGCCCACGGCTCAGGAAGAGCTCCTGCTTGCACGTGCGACTCGTTTCCCTCCGCTTCTGCTCTCGTAGCATCTGCTGTGCCTGCGCCGTTTGCGACAATTGTTCTCTCGCTCCTCCTCCTGCTTTTTCCGCAATCCCCCTGTATACGCCCTCGTTTGAACTCCTCGCAATTGCTTCTGCTCCATCGAGTGCTTCAGAAGCTGTGACACGTTGAAACCGTTCCCTGGTCAATTCCTTAAAAATGGATTTCTTTTCGTTCCTCGTGTGTTGGTGCAGGCGATGTGATGGAGCACGCGGTGCTACTGAGCGTGAAGCAAAAGGACGAGGCTCTCTTTGAGCGCAACTACCTGCAGCTACGCACCTACTACACTGACACCAGGTGCGGGCACCACCGTCCTCATTCCCCTCGTTGCAGAGCCCTATCCACCCTGTTTTGCTGCCCCCCCTTACTAAAATTCCAATCCATTCAGTGTTACCAAAATTTTGGCTGTTGCTGTCTTGCTTTCCAGCAATGGTCACATTGTACCTGTTTCCTTCCACACCAGGAGCATCCTCCCTGCTTCTGAGAACGAGCCTGTCATTTTGGGCCTGAACCTGCTGCGCCTGCTGGTAGCAAACCGTATTGCAGAGTTCCACACCGAGCTGGAGCTCTTGCCAGAGGGCCTGGACGAGAATCCGTGTGTGAAGACAGCAGTGCAGCTGGAGCAGGCGCTCATGGAAGGGGCGTATGCGCGTGTGCTCACCACACGTCATGCGGCGCCCCATCCACTGTTTGCTCACTTCCTGGACCTGCTCATGCGGACTGTCAGGTGAGGATTGTGAGGGGGATGTTTGGTTAACAAACATATACTTTCACATGTATTTTCTAATGCTGTCGTATTTGCTTTCCTTCGGAGCTGGGGGTTGGGAGTTATGACAGATGGACATCACTCTTATATAGCCTGTATTTGCGTGCTCCGGATTCTTCGGTGACTGTTTGTCCCTGGCAGAGATGAGATAGCAGGGTGCAGTGAGAAGGCATACGAGTCTCTTGAAATTAAAGATGCATGCCAACTGCTCATGTTCACCAATGAAGCAGAGCTGAAGCCCTATGCTGAGCAGGTAACAATGCCCTTAATTCGTTTTCTTCGTCCCCCCTTTTCAAAATTTGTGCTGGCTTAGGTTTGTTTTGCTCCAATCTTGAGGTTCCATCCCTCTGCTGTTTCCGGTGGTCATCTCTTCCTGTTTTTCTTTTCCATGCATTGACTGCAGCACAACTGGGAGGTTCGTGATGGTTCTGTATACTTTCAGCGCCCACAGCAGCAGCAACCGCGTGATAGAATGCCATCCATGCAGCTTGTGAGCCAGGCTTTGGGTTATGCTAGGGAGCTGGAGCGCATTGTTTGAGTTTCCATATGGTTTGACTTATGGGTGGGTCCTTGCTGGACAACTTGTAACAGCCAGACAGAGTTTGTCTATACATGATATCCAATGGTATTGTTAGATTGCTGGAATCTTGTTGCGTGCTCATGGAACAAAGCGTTGAGGGGCATGGTACTATGATCATTGATTTGAGTTACATAGTGATTGAAGGATAATATACAATGTTGAGGTGTTGAGTATTTTAGCTGTACTGCGCCAGGAGCACAAGGGACTCGACCAGCTTCCATCCTATTGGCCTAAGTGCAGGTCATGGGCCGATGTTCACGCCTGTTGCCTGTGGCACCTCGGCAAGCACGTTGCGCGGCGCTCCGGGATTGATTTCCTCAATTTAGGGGTGGACTGCCCTCTTGATCACGGGCGGCTTGGGATTTCAGATGAAGCCAACCAAACAGTTGGATCCAGCCGAAGGGGAACGAGTGCACGAGACTGAGTTGGATTTGGAATTCGGCTCGTCCAGAGGAGGAGAAAGGCATGCAACTGTCGAAGCGGCAACCTGGGTCTCGGATTTGTGCGATTCGGGTGTCGGAGGTTGGTTTGCGACTTCGCAACAAGGTCGTAGAAGCACCTGCGACGCTTCTGCGAAGACTGCACCAGCTTGCAAGTTGATCGCATGTGTCGGATGAACCACCGTGCGACTGCTCCTGGCAAAGTGCATACAGCTGCAGCCGCCAAAGGGTTGCTCAACCATTTTACCTGCTGGAGTTCCTTTTAAAGCGAGGGTGCACTTTGGGGGGGGTGCACCCAAAGGTTTATCACTTGGGTTGTAGGGTTACCCGGTTTGTTGAGCAGAGTTTGGTGCGAACTGGGAAGCCTGGGTCCGCGGGGTTGCGCACGTACAAACATGCTCGGGGGTAGCGAAGGGGCTGACGGGAGTTGGGAACTTGGATACTAACCACCAGGCGCATTGTGAACCCAACCACACCAGCTCCTGTTTCCCAAGGCACCCCCGAGTGATAAACCAGTGCAAGCACACCAACCACTTCCACCAGCTCACCGTCCCGATATGACAGCACTAACAGAGATAGAATCTAGCAAAGTCACAGCTCAACGAAACCAGTTTAGCGGAGCGACGTCACTCCGAAAGCGCGCAGTCGTCGAGCTTAGGGTTTAGGTCATTTGCCATTTCTCGAAGCGCAGGCGCAACACACGTTGCGCACAGGGAGAGGCGGAGGATCTCGTCGCAGGACGAAAACTCAACCGAAAGAGGTAGGTTGAGCGGTGTATCCCCCCAGCCAAAAACTCAACCGAAAGAGGTAGGTTTCGCATGCCTGGTTTCAATCCCTCGCACCAGCCTTACACCCCCTGCAAAATTCGCCCTCGAATCAGTACGCGCCAGAGGGTGTGCACTAACATTACACCCAAAAGCCACCCCCAGGAATGTGCACCCTTGCTTTAAGGGTTTGGTTTTGCTGTTGCAATCACCCAGGTGTGTCTGGGCAGGCAATAGCCTCAATGTTCTCGGATTGCCAGGCGTTTGTTGACCATTTCCAGCCATTACTTATGAAATGGGATTAGACTACTATGAGGTACTCCAGGTACCAAACACCGCGTCTGATGATGACCTAAAGAAGGCTTATAGGAAGTTGGCGATGAAATGGCATCCAGACAAAAATCCCACCTGCAAGACAGAAGCGGAGGCGAAATTTAAGGAGATATCTGAAGCGTACGAGGTAGTACGAGTTTATGCTCTTGCTGGCACAGTCCGCCTAGATTGCTTCGACATCAGGACTCATTCACCTTTCTCTTCTTGGTACAGGTCCTCAGTGATGGTCAGAAGAGAGCAGTGTACGATCAGTATGGGGAGGAAGGACTCAAAGGACAAGTACCACGTCAAGGAACTCCAAGTCAGCCAGGAACTTCACACGCCCCAACTTCCAGCACCCCGAATCCTCATGGCACCCCGAATCCTCATGTTAATAAGTTTAATCCGCGGAGCGCGGAAGACATTTTTGCAGAGTTTTTTGGCAAGAACCCATTTATGTCAGAAAGCAGTGGCTTCAGAGGCTCAAAGTCTGGTTCTTCGTTCCCTGGCGACCATTATGGATCTCCAGTGCAAGAACCGGTGGTGCATGGCCATTATGTGGACCCCGGCCCCCCCGCACCTAAGAAAGGTGCACCTGTAGAGAACCGGCTGGTTTGCTCCTTGGAAGAGCTTTACTCGGGCTCGACGAGGAAAATGAAGATTTCTCGAAATATTGTTGACACTGCTGGGTACGTTACGCCTCCCTTTCTCAACTTCTCCCTTCTGGGCAGTCAGTAGGCCAGTCCCTAATTTGTCTTTCACTACCCCCCCATGCTTTTTTCAGGAACATCACCCCAGTGGAGGAAATACTGACTATCAACGTGAAACCAGGATGGAAAAAGGGGACCAGGATTACATTCTCTGAGAAAGGCAACGAGCAGCCAGGCCTCGTTCCTGCGGACCTGGTTTTTGTCATAGAGGAGAAGCAGCATGAGTTCTTCAAGCGGGAGGGCATTGATCTTGTGTGCACCCAAAAAATCAGCATTGCGGACGCCTTGCTTGATTACACGTTGAACTTGACAACTCTTGATGGGAGACAGCTTTCAATTGCCCTCAATGAGGTGATTTTTCCCGGCTATGAGAAGGTGATTTCTAGGGAGGGGATGCCAGGGAAGGAGCTGGGCAAGCGTGGCAACCTTAGAATAAGGTTTGATGTTAGATTCCCTTCTAAGCTCTCTGCAGAGCAGAAGATGCTGTTGGCCCAAGTTTTTCCTAGGGAATAGGCAGCTTCAGTAATTTAGATCATGAATCTAGGTAGTGACACTAGTTACTTAGTTAGTCAGTCCACATTGGCTTGTGTTGCATATCTACCACTTGTATTGTAGCCTAAGCACTTGCAAGGGCTCAAAGAGTCGTTGTGCATGCCTTTGTATTGTATTTATAAGTTGTTGATGTATTTGAAACCATAGTACTTGTAAGGAAAATTCCTTTTCCTAACTTCGCGTCCCTGCTTACCGCGTACATACCCGTTCCCGCCATCGGCACCCATCCGTGAACGTTACCCGCTCGCAACATTCGCCTCGACCACGACTCCCGCCACTGTTCACGATGCGACCCAACCTCACGGTTCGGTTGGTAACCCGCGCTCCGGACCTCCGCCTCGGCAATTTCCAACCTCGGCGCTAGGCCCGTAGCGCACCCCAATGTCCCGCGTTACCGTTACCACGCTAGCTTCGCTATATAACTTCGCTCATGCTTTTCGCTCAACTGTATTGATTGCTTCGATAGTGCAATTCTCACTCGCTCGTTCAATTGCACTCGTAACACTTGGTATTCAGAGCCTACGATCTCCTCTCGGACCGCGCCCACACCTTCGCTTCCCCATTATCTCAATTTTTGGGGGGGTAGACGTCTCTTAGCGAACACGCACCGCCGCTCGAAGTGCTCTCTCGTAAGCACGCACGGCCACGACAGAGGCTCTCGCTGAGCTTGCCCGACACCCCCGCCATGGCCGAAATTACTCTTGCGACATTAACGCAGGAGCAACTCGACCGTCTCGTGCGCCAACTCGAAGACTCGGCGCTCGAAATCGCGACACTCACGGCGGAACGAGACTCCGCCCTCCAGCAATCAACGGTGAATGCGCCAGCTCCATCACAAGCACCCGCAAATGCACCTGCGCAATCAGAAGAACCGATCGTCATCTCATCAGGCACACCGACGCAAAACGACAGCGTGGTGTCAGATTACAATTGTATCTCTAGGCTACAGTAGAGTCACTCCTTAGTGAGTACAACACTTTAGGGTTAGGTTTCCTCTACTTGCACTCACCTCTTGCCTAGTTCAATCATTCATTCCTTGTTCTATTCTTGACATGTTATCAGAGTAGGAACCGTTCCTACATGGGCCCACCGTTCCGCCTAGTGGTAGCGCCACGCCCTACACAGTAGCCAGCGCGCTGGCGCCCCTAGCTCTCACTGTCGCGACCCTTGCAGCCCGTGCGCTGCCCCTGCGACCGCGCTGCCCCTGCAGCCGTGCTCGCCCCTACGACCGTGCTGCCCCTGCAGCCGTGCTCGCCCTTGCTACCGTGCAGCCCCTGCAGCCGCGCCTGCCCCTGTGGCCCCCGTGCTGCCCCTGCAGCCCGTACGTCGCTCCTGCAGCCCGTACGTCGCCCCTGCAGCCCGTTCACGCTGCCCCTGCAGCCCGTTCACGCTGCCCCTGCAGCCCGTTCACGCTGCCCCTGCAGCCCGTTCACGCTGCCCCTGCAGCCCGTTCACACTGCCCCTGCAGCCCGTTCACGCTGCCTCTGCAGCCCGTTCACGCTGCCCCTGCAGCCCGCGCGCAGACCTACCGAGCCGCGCGTCGCCTCTGCAGCCCTCCGCCCGGCCCCTGCAGCCCGCGCGTCGCCCCTGGAGCCCGCGCGCCGCCTCTGCGGCCCGTTCGCGCCGCCCCTACAGCTCGCGCGCGGACCTGCCGAGCCGCGCGTCGCCTCTGCAGCCCGTCCGCGCGGCCCCTGCAGCCCGCGCGTCGCCCCTGGAGCCCGCACACCGCCCCTGGAGCCCGTGCGTCCTGCCCCTGCAGCCCGCGCCCTAACGCAGCCCACGAGTCGCGCGCTGCTGCCTCGCGCGTCGCGCTCTGCTGCCTCGCGCGTCACGCTCTGCTGCAGCCCGCGCGTCGCGCCCTAAGGCAGCCCGTCGCGTCGCGCTCTGCTGCCCCTCGCGTCACGTACTGCTGCAGCCTGCGCCAGCGCCCTGCCCTGCGCCCGCGTCCTGCCCTGCGCCAGCGCCCTGCCCTGCGCCAGCGCCATGCTATACCCTAAATATAATTAAATTGTTTATTAAAAAAAAAAAAAAAAAGGGGCCCTAGGTGCTTCTGCCCTAGGAGCTACTGCCTACTACTGCCCTGCTGTGGCCGCGCGCCGCCCTGCTCTGGCCGCGCGCCGCCCTGCTGCTCTTACTGCTGCTGCTGCTACTCGTGCTACTAGGAGTGGTGGAGGTGCTGCTGGGAGTGCAGGAGGTGCTGCTGGTGCTGTAGGAGCTGGAGGTGCTGGACCTACTCCTGACCGTCACTGTCTGTCATGGCCACTTCCGCGGCAGTTGCTGCGGTCAGGGGTGGACAGCAGCGGGCACTGCTTCTCCCGGACAACCCCACCCCTCAGCAGCTTCGTGAGTGGGTTATTCAACGAGGTCATCCTAATTATGGAGGTTATCGTTTTGTTAAGACTGCCGCTCTTGGTGCTAGTGAGTCTGCTGCTACTCCAGGTGCTAGTGAGTCTGCTGCAGCTCTAGGTGCCCGTGAGTCTGCCGACGCTCTAGATGCTAGTGCGTCTCCTACCACAGGTCCTGCCTCAGCTGAGGTCTTGCACACTTTCACGCTTGACTCAGGCGCGTCACGTTGCTTCTTCCGTGATTGCACCACAGTCACACCACTCACAGCACCTGTCCCAGTCTCACTGGCTGACCCCTCCGGGGGCCCAGTAGTTGCGAGAGCCTCCACGGTCCTCCCTTGTCCAGCAGTCCCCTCCGGCTCTCTGTCAGGTCTCCACCTCCCCATGTTCTCGACGAACTTGGTGAGCAACGCTGCCATTCAGGATGTCTGGGTTGATACCTTTATTCCTGGAGGGCAGCGTGTGGTGATCTGTACGTGCTCCCGGACTGGCCGTCACCTGGCTACGTTCACTCGACAGCCTGGGTCTAGTCTGTACACACTGACCACTGCGTCTGCACAGGAGGGTGAGTCAGGTCAGGTGGCTGCGTCGAGTCGGGCGTCTGCGTCGAGGCAGTTAGCTGCGTCTTGCTCGTGCAGAGTACTCACGCACGAGACTCAGCGCTGGCACCACCGTCTTGGTCACCCCTCCCTGCAGCGTCTACGCAGTATGCACTCCCGTCTCCTTGTCTCTGGCCTCCCCAGGACCCTGCCCCCCCTCCCGCGCTCACTTGCGCCGCCGTGCCTTCCTTGCGTCGAGGGGCGGCAGCGCGCCGCTCCTCACTCCTCCGAGTTTCCTCCGACCACTGCTCCTCTGCAGACTCTCCACCTGGACGTGTGGGGCCCGGCCCCAGTCGGTGGGACGGACCTGGAGCGCTACTTCCTGCTGGTTGTTGACGACTACACACGCTACACCACAGTCTTCCCCTTGCGTCGCAAGGCGGACGTCAGCGGTGTTTTGATCCGCTGGATCCGTGCTACTCGTCTCCAGCTGCACGAGCGCTTTCAGCAGGACTTCCCAGTCCTGCGTCTGCACTCTGACAGGGGTGGTGAGTTCTCCTCTGGCGTCCTTGAGACGTTCTGCCAGGATGAGGGCATCGCCCAGTCGTTCACGCTTCCGGCCTCTCCGCAGCAAAATGGGATCGTTGAGCGTCGCATTGGCCTGATCATGGAGGTTGCTCGTACCTCCATGATCCATGCGGCTGCTCCCCATTTCCTGTGGCCGTTTGCGGTCCGATACGCCGCGCATCAGCTCAACCTCTGGCCCCGTGTCTCTGCTCCAGAGACCTCGCCCACACTGCGTCGGACGGGACAGCCTGGTGATGCGTCGTCGTTTCGGGTCTGGGGCGCGCTCTCCCTTGTTCGCGATACCAAAGCGAGCAAGCTCTCTCCTCGCACTCTCCGCTGTGTCTTCCTGGGCTTCCCCACCGACGCTCCACCCTGGCAGTTCTACCACCCTGCCTCGCATCGTGTTCTGTCCTCTCAGGACGTCACCTTCGACGAGTCGGTCTGTTACTACCGACTTCACCCACACGCGTCCCACCCGGTCCCCCTCGCGCCTCTCTTCCTACTACCAATCCCCCCCCCCCGGTAGACCCCCTTCCCCCACAGGGTCCTGCTCCCTCAGGTGTGTCCCAGGTAGACCCACCCCCCTTGGATGAGCCAGTTGAGATCTCTTCTGACTCCTCTGACTCAGCTGAGGGGGGTGACGCCGTCGCCGACGACACGGCGACCACTCGCCACACTCCTCGCTTGGAGAACCCCCCGGGTTTCCCGCCTTGGCCGTCTTCGCCACCTCCGCAGCCTGCTGCTGTGGACTCTGGAGCTGAGGCTGCTGGAGCTGGGCCTGGGAGTGGTACGTCTGGGGGTGACTGCTCTCCTCGTTTGGCTACCCCCCCCGGTTTCCCGCCTCTGCAGCCTTCTGCAGTGGACACTGGAGCTGAGACTGAGCGTACTGAGCCTACGGGTGCTGGGACTGAGTGTACTGAGCCTGCGGGTGCTGGGACTGAGAGTACTGAGCCTGCGGGTGCTGGGACTGAGGGCACTGAGCCTGCGGGTGCTGGGACTGAGGGTACTGAGCCTGGGGGTACTGAGACTTTGGGTGCTGACTCTGGGGGTGCTGAGACTTCGGGTGCTGACTCTGGGGGTGCTGCGAGTCCTTCTGGAGGTCCTGAAGCTGGAGGTACTGGAGCTACTAGGCCTGGAGGTACTACTGGAGGTACTGGAGCTGCTGCTGGTGCTGGAGGTGCTGGAGCTGGGGGTACTAGAGGTGCTTCTGGTGCTGGAGGTGCTAGAGCTACCACTACTGGAGGTACTGGAGCTGGACAGCCACCGCAGCCTACTCTACTTGAGACGCTCTCGCCGCAGGCGATTCGTGCGTGGGTCGTTCGGCGAGGCAGTCCTGGTGGTGGAGGGTACGATCCGGCTGGTGCTGGAGTTACTAGTCCAGGAGGTGCTGCTGGTGCTGGAGGTGCTGGAGGTACTACTGGAGGTACTAGAGGTACTGCTGGTGCTGGGGGTGCTGCTGGTGCTGGGGGTACTGGAGCTGCTGCTGGTGCTGGAGGTGCTGGAGGTGCTG